ATGATTGTTATATTGATGGTGATTTGTTATTTTATTGATTTTTCTTTTTTTTTATTTATGTTTTTGTATAGAACTAGGTTAAAAAGTCAATTACCACTTTATGTTCTCCTTTTCATATATTTACATTGTTAATGTTATTTGTTTTAATTACTTATTAAACAAATAGTTACATTAGTGATTTGTTCTAAATTGATTGTTTTGAATTACTTGAATTTTCAAGGCTTCTTTTGTTCTCTTGTTTCCTGTTGACAAGTGATTGACCTTTCTGTTAACATAAACAATCTGTTGAATAGTTTTTAAACATTTCAAATTACTTTCAATTACTATTGTATCAGTTTCTCTTCTGAAATATTTAATGTTGAATTTATTATTGATGTCACAATATGTTGGAAAAATCCAGTTTAATTGTAAATATATATCATTTAATATGTTTATTAGTTTGCCCCTTTTTTAAAATTTTGAAGTTATTTCATCATTGTATGATTTAAATCTTTATAAAATAAAAAAAATAATTAATAATAAAACATCAACTCCTGAACTTGAATCCGTTATTTATTTAATTACAAAACATTACTGTGTAAAATGAGTAATCGCCATCAGAAATAAAATTTGAGAATCTTATTTCAGTAATATTTAATTTTGTATAGAAAAATTTTAAATTGAAGAATTTGATTTTTATAACAGAAAATGACCTTGTGTTAACTGTAGTTTTTGAAAAAATTATCAGAGAATATAAACAATGTTTAGTATGGGAACTCAATTTCATGTAATTCGTATCTTTTGATAGAGATTCAAAAAGAGATATATATTAAAATTTCTTTAGTCATAAATCTCAATGTATAAAAGCAATTTCTAATTCATCATCTAAATTATAAAGAGAAGTAATAATGAGCTAACATGCAAACACTTCAATACAAATGTTCTTACATAATTATATAAAGTTTATTATTAAATCTCATAATTAATAGTAAGATTTATTCTTCCTACTATCCCTGTAAAAGTGTATAGGTTTATAAAATATTTTACAAGTTTCAAAAGATTTCATTGAAATTTATCATGAAAATTGATTTTATATATATATATATAACAACAGTATTTATCATCATCCAATTTAGATTGTATTTGAAAAGGTGCAGTAGAAATATTTTTATCGATCACTTGTGCAAATAATCAGACATTAATTATTTAAGTGCAGATTTATGGTTATACCTTGAAAGACTAAGCAACCATTTTTTTGACTTTTTAATGCATTTTTGTTTATAAATTCAAGAAAATATAAACTTTTTTTCCCCTTATGGTTATCATTTGATCTTTCTAAATTTAATAAAAACTTTGATCTGTTGATGTCTTAGCTTCTTTAATATTGTTTAGTAATGGTTACAATGTCCTAAAATATTTTTTTCTTTTAAAGTAAATGTTATAGTATACTTTAAAATGGCAGTAAATATATCTCTTGCCTTTACAGAATTTTAATTTTACATGTACAATTGATTTTAAAATATTTTGGTAATGGCTTGCTTTCTAATTTATTTTGATTTTTAATGTAGGCCTAATTACCTAAAAATATTTAGCTATGTGGGAGAACATGATCCACACTGGGATCATCTACATGAGTAAGAAGTGAGAGATGTCCGAATGTATTACTATCCATCATAAATCATCATAAACTTTTAATTTTAAAAAATTATGTGAGGAACTATACTTTAAATTATCCTGTTTTCAAAAATCAGAAACTTGTGTTAATTTTAATATTTTATTACATTTTTAACAGGTTAATGAAATACTTAACCCACTTTTTTTATTTTGTATTTAAATGTACTCAGTCATATGTACTTTTGATAAATGTACTCAGAATATTCTCTGAATATTGATTCCTAGAAATTTTATGTCAGAATTATGCAAAAAATTTAATACTGCATTAAATAAATTTTTGTATTAATAATTTACATATGTAGAAGCATTAACATCAATTAGACTTATTCTCTTTCTAAGAACCAAAAATTCTTCTAATGCTTAATTTTTTTTCTATTATGAAATAATAAATGTTAGAAACAATGAACAAAAATTTTTATAATTTACTTTATATATATATATATTTTCTACATATTTTAAATTTTTTTTCTATAATAAAAAGCATAGTTGCTAACAGTCCTCCAAAAAATATAATTTATTATAAATAAGTCTAGCTTCATGAATTATTATGAGTTATCATAATTTGTTTATGTATGAGACTCATTTATACCTTCTGTTCTTTAATAATCTACAGAAAAAGGCAGTACTAAAATTGTATAACATACATGCATAACTTATAAGTACTTCAGACTAAAGACAAGTCTTACTTTTTAAGAAGATGCATAGATGCTATATTTTTAAACTAAACATTTCTTGTATTTAGAAAGTTTTTTGTTAATTAAAAGTCTCTTTAATGTGTGTCTGATATCAAGACAGTGTAACTTGATTTGTTTGTCATCAAGTAGCATTGCCATATACAATCTGCCAAGAAGAATGCTTCCCAGGAAGGACATTTTATGAGAGACTAGCCCCATTTAGATGTTACAAACATACAAAAACCTAGAAAATTCCATATGGTCAGCATATTGACAAGGCACAGACCCACGATCAGCTTCTGGTGTTGGATGGTTTTATTCACTTGCCACTGATGGGTTCCACATTTAATAGTCAAAGTTTATAATGAAAATTTCGACCATTTATGTAATATGAAACTTTTGTTGGTTTTTGCACAAATTTTGATGACCTTTTTTTTTACTTAAGAAAAAAAACAGTTAAAATTGTTATCTTCTAACAGAGTGCTTAATTCATATTTATTTATTACATTTGTACTATAAAATAATTCTGAATATTTTAAAAAGTTTCTCAATAAATTCAGAATATGCATTTGTTGTTTGAATAATTAGGAATCAGTTGAACAACAAACCATTTGTTAGAAACTGATCAATAATTACTTTTTCTCAAGTTCTCTTTCTTGCATAGCTTTACCAATTGAATTCTTGAACATAACAGAATCTTAAATGATAACTTTTTTCTGAACATTGTTTGAATAAGTGTAATTAAATATTTTTTTCTCTACATAGCTTCATTCTAAACCACAAAGCATAGAAAACCAGTTTTTTCCATATGTGAGTTAATTGCATTAACTCTGTAGTATCTTGCAGATTTGTTTATTAGATATTGAGAAACAGCAAAGTGTCTGACAAAAGTCAACAAAAATCTTCAAACAAAGGTTGCAAATATTCTTATATGGTTTTTATATTTATTTGGATGACATTTAATCACTTTTCATTTGCTGTCAAAATAACTCATTTAATCTTAATGAAAATCTCTTCCAAGTGGTCTTTATCTTGTACTGTAACACCTTACCTGCAATTCATCAGATGTGTCTTAGTCCTGCCTATAATAATTACAGTACAGTAATACCCCGAACTTACACGATAGGTGGGACCGAGCGATAACCGTGTAAGTCGAATTTGCGTAAGTCTGGATATAATTTCGCAATTTATGTAAAATTCAGGTCTGATGTATGTAAGCTAATAAATGTTCTCGTTAATCTTATCTCGTCTTTTGATTCGTTCACGGTTACAAGAAATCGCCACGTGTTGTCTCTCAAGTCTCCGTAGATATAACAAACACAGAAATAGCTACAATTTATTGTGTGTTATTTATGTGTCGATTCCGTGCGACACGTCTGATCATGTAAGCCGAACAATAGTGTGGGGGGAGTGAATAATCGAGAGTTGCGTGGCGCTCAAACAAAAGACGAATCGATGAGATTTGAAAATCGCGTAAGTTGAGGTATTACTGTATTCAGAATAAATTTTTTTTTTTCCACCAGTTATAAATTAATCATTAATATAAACTTATTTATGCATGTGTACATACACATTTTATGTTCTTGGAATAGAAAGCAAGTTTTATTTCAGTATTTGGATATAAAATTTAGAGTTGTAAAAACAAACATTCTTAAAAATTTCATGATCCTTTAGGGTTCCTCATGTAAATATTTATTAAAAAAAAGTTGCATATAAATTTTAATTGAAGAAACTTATTGTGTTTTATTCAAATGCAAAATTTGATTTTCTGAAATGCTGAATTGAGCGTGATGTCTATTTTATGTACTTGCAAAGTTTCTAAATAGTCTCTCTCTTATATGTTGTTCATAAATCTGATTTTTTTTAATATACAAGGTCTTCAAAAAGAATGCTACCACTTTAAGTTCAGGTAATAATTAACATAATTACAGTAAGTATGCAACATACACCAGTTGACAGAGTAACTGAGTTTCATCTCTTATCTGCATTCAAATGTTTTGTCATTGCTGTAGGAAGTGCCATAAACAAAAATGGCAACTCTGCAACAAAGAAGGCATTGTGTTCAGCAGTTCACAAAGTCAATCACTTGTCATTGTGCAACATTAGTAATCTGCAGGAGCTGTAGAATCGCGGCTGCTGCAGGAGAAGTAACAACGGATGTGCTGTAGTGAGTGTAGGAAGAATTTGAGTATTGGTCAGATGTGCAGTGTAACACAAGGTGCATACATTGAGAAATTATAATTGGAAAACTGTCCAAGTTTCACATTTGCCCATGTTTTAATGTACATTACAATATTCTTGGATAATAAATAACATAATTACAATAATTTAAAATAGCAGTGTTCTTTTTGGAAGACCCTGTATTTTACCTATTTGCACTACTGCTACATTGTCATAGTAATATATTTTCCAAGATTAATAGTAACTATATTTCACTGACTCAAGATCTTTCCAGGATTTTACAATCTTAAAATTCAATGTTAAACAAAAATACTGTTGTGAATGGAAATTTCTGAATCATTCATATAGATAGTGATTCCAATCAAAAATTGTTTGTAGTTTATTGAATTATGCTCTATATATTTGTCATTGCCATGTTCAAAATTTTATTTATTTTTTTTTTAAATTGATGATATTTTAAGAGAGACATTAATAAAAATAGTTTATTTTCAGCATTTTCCAGATACAACAAACACAAAATGTTTCAATGCCAATGGAGAATTAATTGAAGAAGAAGGTGAGATGATTTTCTTTTTTGTTCTGAATGTTGTTCTGAACTTAAATTCTGATTAGATTTTTAACATATGACTACAGAGTTGTGGTATAATTTGAATTCTTTACATTTTGTTTTCTTTCTTTCAAACATTTAAGTGAAAGCAATTGTAAATCTAATATTCATTTTAAGAAATATAAAGTAAGAACTGTTAAAATTTTACAGATCTTTAAAATTAAAATGTGATATGAACTGTCTTTTTGAATTGTTAGATTGGAAAAATTGCTGAATTATACTTTCAAATTACCAATTTTTATACTGAAATTTGGTCATTTTTAAGTGGTCAATATCCAAAAGGTGGCATTAGATTTTTAAATTGCTTGTATTATACTTTTTTAAATGATGACAATGCTACTTATGCAAGTAATGGTGGTGCTTTTAAAGATGGAATGTGAGCTACGTTCTAATATCATCATTACTTAAGAATGACCAAATACACTGATTACTTTTGGGTTTAATTAGCTTGGCTTGGGTTATCAAAAATTTCCAAAAGTCGGATGTTCTGAATCGTTAAATGGCCAGAATTTTATGGGTTATCTTCAGAGTATAATTTAATTATGGCTTAAGTAGTAATCCATAAATTCTTGCCATTTGGCCTAGTTTCCCAATATTAAGCCAGTATTTCTCAAATTAGGTTCTGTAGAACCTTGAGGTTTGTTAGACTAAAGTGCATATTGATAATGGAGGAAACTTTATTGGCTGTCCTAAATTTTTATGTATAACATACAACATTAATCATTTGGCCACTGATAGAGCATGACTATTGCTGTGTTATTCCAAATTCTTTTTAATAGGCAAATAATTGTTGAAGTTTTGTGCTGTTTTTAAAAAAATTTTCTAGTAGGTAAAGTACTGGAAATTGTATGTTGGCTCAGGATTGATAGGAACAAATTAGGGGTTCTTCGGTAAATTCTTATAGCGGTTATGGTTGTGTATGATAAAATAGTTTGAGAAACACTGTGTTAAGCTAGCATTTGTGCTGGTTTTGTGGTTTATACTCTAGCTAACACTTGCTTTTTTCAGTCTTAATTGTTGATAATCTTTAAATTTAATCATACAGTATAAAAATGAATTTATAGATTTGCATTTGCGCATACATAATTTCTAATTATGCATGTTGAATTCTGTTCTGTTGTCATTAATCTTTAGCAACTTAATGTTTTCAAGGCTGTGATACATTGGTGGTTGTTTATTCTGCAGAAGAGCCAGCCTGTTATTACGAGTGCCATTATCCTCCGTGTACAAATTTGGAACAAGAGCCCAGAGAATTTAGCATCTGTGGCAGATGCCAACAAGCCCGTTACTGCGGTTCCAATTGCCAGCAACGTGACTGGCCCGTTCACAAGAAATTCTGCCGGGAAAAGCACAGACCGATTCTCAGGGAGAGGCCACCGGAACGGTGAATCGAACAAAATGTTCAAAGGACAGTAACAACTTTAAAAGAACACAAAGGCAGAGTTTGATTTCTAATTGTCTCACTCCCAACTGAAAATATTGTACTAAATGGCGTGAAGAGGCAATTGACCACATAACAAGACACACATTATTTACAAGAAGCAACGTTCGCCAGAAGGCACTCCAGTTTTCCCCCCGAAAGTGGTGCCGCAGCCGTCTGGAGCGACCGCTGCTGAGCGGATCCGTGCGGGCAAGAGCGAGAACCGATCCCCGCTACTCCGCCCGAATCCTACTCCCTGCCGTTTCGGTTCTGGTGAGAGTGATACAACTAGGACGAGGAAAAAAATCTCGCCACAGTCCACCGATAAGTTATTTATTGCAATCTTAGTTCTGTGGCGTGTCTACTGCCCACGATCCCGGTCCACCAGCGATATGTTTAAAAAAGGAAAGAAAAACCATGTAAATTTTGTTGTAAGTGTGAGAGAACTAACCGTTCAACTTTGCCATTTTATATGTAGCTGAATCGTTGTGATAATTTAAGAAAAAAGAAAAAATCATCTAATATATCTACATTTTTGCTCATTATACTGCACTAGTTTTCAACCAATGTTCCTGAGTGGCACCAAAATCTTTGTAAAGATGATATATATCATATATTATATATATATTATTCTTAACTTTTTTAAATTTTAAGAAAAAAACAACAAAAAAAAAACTTTAACTTTCTCCATACTTTAACCAATCAAATATATTTAAAAAAGANATTATTATAGAATGAAAAATTCTCCTATTTTTAAAAATTGTTAGTTTTTATTTATTTTTATATAAAGTAAGAACTACATGTATATTATTGACGACATGTTTTCTAAATATTTGATTTTTCTTTTTTGTATTAATAGGGAAAGACATTATGGTGGTATTGCTCCTGGTTTTAGAGTGATACATAAAAACGGTATTAGTATGGATAATCGTTTGGAAAATCTAATTTTAGTGCCATTAGGTATAAAAGCACACTTTTTTCTCGAACCTCATGTGAAACAACGTGAACAATCTTTATATTGGGCAGCCATTCAACAGCTACCTCCAGATCATCTTGTAGAAGAGGTAATGTCATTTCTTTTTTAAAAATTTGTAATGTTTAATTTTTGTTTTTAATTACTTTAACTTCTAAAAATTTGATATAGATTTATTTATTTTATTATTAAACTTTGGTTCGTGTGTAATGTCATATAAAACTATGGCTTGTCCATGTACATATTTTAATATAATTTTTTTTTAAATGGATCCTCCAAATGTTTATTCAGAGAAGTCTAATATATAAGTAATTCATTGAAGTTTATCAAATTCACATATTTGACATTTGATATTTACTTTTGACATAAACAATGTTTACACTTTTTACTAATTTAAAGACATGTTTTTAGCATTCTCTCCCTATAGTTGGTTAGAAAAAGATTGCTTGCTCTGAAAATATCCCATCGAGACTATCTATCTATTTCCAGTTATTTGCAGATAATTAACTGAAAAAATAATTTGAAGATGTTTATTTCATATTTTCTGGCATCAGGAATACAGAACATATTCTAAAAATTACTTATGTAAATATGTATTACAGATATTAATAATAACTATTTCTAATGCTAGTAAGAGGGAAGCTTTTGAAGTAAACTTTAATCTTATTTCCTTGTTTACAGTAATGACTGTTGCTAATTTTTGTATTAACTTATTCCCAAAGTAATTTGTAATTTTAAATTTCAATTAATTCCATAATACTTCACCCTTCATAATCTTGATTCTAAATATTTTAATATTAAAATTGGAACAAATTTAATGATTGTTATATTGATGGTGATTTGTTATTTTATTGATTTTTCTTTTTTTTTATTTATGTTTTTGTATAGAACTAGGTTAAAAAGTCAATTACCACTTTATGTTCTCCTTTTCATATATTTACATTGTTAATGTTATTTGTTTTAATTACTTATTAAACAAATAGTTACATTAGTGATTTGTTCTAAATTGATTGTTTTGAATTACTTGAATTTTCAAGGCTTCTTTTGTTCTCTTGTTTCCTGTTGACAAGTGATTGACCTTTCTGTTAACATAAACAATCTGTTGAATAGTTTTTAAACATTTCAAATTACTTTCAATTACTATTGTATCAGTTTCTCTTCTGAAATATTTAATGTTGAATTTATTATTGATGTCACAATATGTTGGAAAAATCCAGTTTAATTGTAAATATATATCATTTAATATGTTTATTAGTTTGCCCCTTTTAAAATTTTGAAGTTATTTCATCATTGTATGATTTAAATCTTTATAAAATAAAAAAAATAATTAATAATAAAACATCAACTCCTGAACTTGAATCCGTTATTTATTTAATTACAAAACATTACTGTGTAAAATGAGTAATCGCCATCAGAAATAAAATTTGAGAATCTTATTTCAGTAATATTTAATTTTGTATAGAAAAATTTTAAATTGAAGAATTTGATTTTTATAACAGAAAATGACCTCGTGTTAACTGTTGTTTTTGAAAAAATTATCAGAGAATATAAACAATGTTTTAGTATGGGAACTCAGTTTCATGTAATTTGTATCTTTTGATAGAGATTCAAAGATATATATATATATATATTAAAATTTCTTTAGTCATAAATCTCAATGTATAAAAGCAATTTCTAATTCATCATCTAAATTATAAAGAGAAGTAATAATGAGCTAACATGCAAACACTTCAATACAAATGTTCTTACATAATTATATAAAGTTTATTATTAAATCTCATAATTAATAGTAAGATTTATTCTTCCTACTATCCCTGTAAAAGTGTATAGGTTTATAAAATATTTTACAAGTTTCAAAAGATTTCATTGAAATTTATCATGAAAATTGATTTTATATATATATATATAACAACAGTATTTATCATCATCCAATTTAGATTGTATTTGAAAAGGTGCAGTAGAAATATTTTTATCGATCACTTGTGCAAATAATCAGATATTAATTATTTAAGTGCAGATTTATGGTTATACCTTGAAAGACTAAGCAACCATTTTTTTGACTTTTTAATGCATTTTTGAAAATAGAAACTTTTCATTCATGAAAATATAAACTTTTTTCCCCTTATGGTTATCATTTGATCTTTCTAAATTTAATAAAAACTTTGATCTGTTGATGTCTTAGCTTCTTTAATATTGTTTAGTAATAGTTACAATGTCCTAAAATATTTTTTTCTTTTAAAGTAAATGTTACAGTATACTTTAAAATGGCAGTAAATATATCTCTTGCCTTTACAGAATTTTAATTTTACATGTACAATTGATTTTAAAATATTTTGGTAATGGCTTGCTTTCTAATTTATTTTGATTTTTAATGTAGGCCTAATTACCTAAAAATATTTAGCTATGTGGGAGAACATGATCCACACTGGGATCATCTACATGAGTAAGAAGTGAGAGATGTCCGAATGTATTACTATCCATCATAAATCATCATAAACTTTTAATTTTAAAAAATTATGTGAGGAACTATACTTTAAATTATCCTGTTTTCAAAAATCAGAAACTTGTGTTAATTTTAATATTTTATTACATTTTTAACAGGTTAATGAAATACTTAACCCACTTTTTTTATTTTGTATTTAAATGTACTCAGTCATATGTACTTTTGATAAATGTACTCAGAATATTCTCTGAATATTGATTCCTAGAAATTTTATGTCAGAATTATGCAAAAAATTTAATACTGCATTAAATAAATTTTTGTATTAATAATTTACATATGTAGAAGCATTAACATCAATTAGACTTATTCTCTTTCTAAGAACCAAAAATTCTTCTAATGCTTAATTTTTTTTCTATTATGAAATAATAAATGTTAGAAACAATGAACAAAAATTTTTATAATTTACTTTATATATATATATTTTTTCTACATATTTTAAATTTTTTTTCTATAATAAAAAGCATAGTTGCTAACAGTCCTCCAAAAAATATAATTTATTATAAATAAGTCTAGCTTCATGAATTATTATGAGTTATCATAATTTGTTTATGTATGAGACTCATTTATACCTTCTATTCTTTAATAATCTACAGAAAAAGGCAGTACTAAAATTGTATAGCATACATGCATAACTTATAAGTACATCAGACTAAAGACAAGTCTTACTTTTTAAGAAGATGCATAGATGCTATATTTTTAAACTAAACATTTCTTGTATTTAGAAAGTTTTTTGTTAATTAAAAGTCTCTTTAATGTGTGTCTGATATCAAGACAGTGTAACTTGATTTGTTTGTCATCAAGTAGCATTGCCATATACAATCTGCCAAGAAGAATGCTTCCCAGGAAGGACATTTTATGAGAGACTAGCCCCCATTTAGATGTTACAAACATACAAAAACCTAGAAAATTCCATATGGTCAGCATATTGACAAGGCACAGACCCACGATCAGCTTCTGGTGTTGGATGGTTTTATTCACTTGCCACTGATGGGTTCCACATTTAATAGTCAAAGTTTATAATGAAAATTTCGACCATTTATGTAATATGAAACTTTTGTTGGTTTTTGCACAAATTTTGATGACCTTTTTTTTTACTTAAGAAAAAAAAACAGTTAAAATTGTTATCTTCTAACAGAGTGCTTAATTCATATTTATTTATTACATTTGTACTATAAAATAATTCTGAATATTTTAAAAAGTTTCTCAATAAATTCAGAATATGCATTTGTTGTTTGAATAATTAGGAATCAGTTGAACAACAAACCATTTGTTAGAAACTGATCAATAATTACTTTTTCTCAAGTTCTCTTTCTTGCATAGCTTTACCAATTGAATTCTTGAACATAACAGAATCTTAAATGATAGCTTTTTTCTGAACATTGTTTGAATAAGTGTAATTAAATATTTTTTTCTCTACATAGCTTCATTCTAAACCACAAAGCATAGAAAACCAGTTTTTTCCATATGTGAGTTAATTGCATTAACTCTGTAGTATTTTGCAGATTTGTTTATTAGATATTGAGAAACAGCAAAGTGTCTGACAAAAGTCAACAAAAATCTTCAAACAAAGGTTGCAAATATTCTTATATGGTTTTTATATTTATTTGGATGACATTTAATCACTTTTCATTTGCTGTCAAAATAACTCATTTAATCTTAATGAAAATCTCTTCCAAGTGGTCTTTATCTTGTACTGTAACACCTTACCTGCAATTCATCAGATGTGTCTTAGTCCTGCCTATAATAATTACAGTACAGTAATACCCCGAACTTACACGATAGGTGGGACCGAGCGATAACCGTGTAAGTCGAATTTGCGTAAGTCTGGGTATAATTTCGCAATTTATGTAAAATTCAGGTCTGATGTATGTAAGCTAATAAATGTTCTCGTTAATCTTATCTCGTCTTTTGATTCGTTCACGGTTACAAGAAATCACCACGTGTTGTCTCTCAAGTCTCCGTAGATATAACAAACACAGAAATAGCTACAATTTATTGTGTGTTATTTATGTGTCGATTCCGTGCGACACGTCTGATCATGTAAGCCGAACAATAGTGTGGGGGGAGTGAATAATCGAGAGGTGCTCAAACAAAAGACGAATCGATGAGATTTGAAAATCGCGTAAGTCGAGGTATTACTGTATTCAGAATAAATTTTTTTTTTTTCACCAGTTATAAATTAATCATTAATATAAACTTATTTATGCATGTGTACATACACATTTTATGTTCTTGGAATAGAAAGCAAGTTTTATTTCAGTATTTGGATATAAAATTTAGAGTTGTAAAAACAAACATTCTTAAAAATTTCATGATCCTTTAGGGTTCCTCATGTAAATATTTATTAAAAAAAAGTTGCATATAAATTTTAATTGAAGAAACTTATTGTGTTTTATTCAAATGCAAAATTTGATTTTCTGAAATGCTGAATTGAGCGTGATGTCTATTTTATGTACTTGCAAAGTTTCTAAATAGTCTCTCTCTTATATGTTGTTCATAAATCTGATTTTTTTTAATATACAAGGTCTTCAAAAAGAATGCTACCACTTTAAGTTCAGGTAATAATTAACATAATTACAGTAAGTATGCAACATACACCAGTTGACAGAGTAACTGAGTTTCATCTCTTATCTGCATTTAAATGTTTTGTCATTGCTGTAGGAAGTGCCATAAACAAAAATGGCAACTCTGCAACAAAGAAGGCGTTGTGTTCAGCAGTTCACAAAGTCAATCACTTGTCATTGTGCAACATTAGTAATCTGCAGGAGCTGTAGAATCGCGGCTGCTGCAGGAGAAGTAACAATGGATGTGCTGTAGTGAGTGTAGGAAGAATTTGAGTATTGGTCAGATGTGCAGTGTAACACAAGGTGCATACATTGAGAAATTATAATTGGAAAACTGTCCAAGTTTCACATTTGCCCATGTTTTAATGTACATTACAATATTCTTGGATAATAAATAACATAATTACAATAATTTAAAATAGCAGTGTTCTTTTTGGAAGACCCTGTATTTTACCTATTTGCACTACTGCTACATTGTCATAGTAATATATTTTCCAAGATTAATAGTAACTATATTTCACTGACTCAAGATCTTTCCAGGATTTTACAATCTTAAAATTCAATGTTAAACAAAAATACTGTTGTGAATGGAAATTTCTGAATCATTCATATAGATAGTGATTCCAATCAAAAATTGTTTGTAGTTTATTGAATTATGCTCTATATATTTGTCATTGCCATGTTCAAAATTTTATTTATTTTTTTTTTTAAATTGATGATATTTTAAGAGAGACATTAATAAAAATAGTTTATTTTCAGCATTTTCCAGATACAACAAACACAAAATGTTTCAATGCCAATGGAGAATTAATTGAAGAAGAAGGTGAGATGATTTTCTTTTTTGTTCTGAATGTTGTTCTGAACTTAAATTCTGATTAGATTTTAACATATGACTACAGAGTTGTGGTATAATTGAATTCTTTACATTTTGTTTTCTTTCTTTCAAACATTTAAGTGAAAGCAATTGTAAATCTAATATTCATTTTAAGAAATATAAAGTAAGAACTGTTAAAATTTTACAGATCTTTAAAATTAAAATGTGATATGAACTGTCTTTTTGAATTGTTAGATTGGAAAAATTGCTGAATTATACTTTCAAATTACCAATTTTTATACTGAAATTTGGTCATTTTTAAGTGGTCAATATCCAAAAGGTGGCATTAGATTTTTAAATTGCTTGTATTATACTTTTTTAAATGATGACAATGCTACTTATGCAAGTAATGGTGGTGCTTTTAAAGATGGAATGTGAGCTACGTTCTAATATCATCATTACTTAAGAATGACCAAATACACTGATTACTTTTGGGTTTAATTAGCTTGGCTTGGGTTATCAAAAATTTCCAAAAGTCGGATGTTCTGAATCGTTAAATGGCCAGAATTTTATGGGTTATCTTCAGAGTATAATTTAATTATGGCTTAAGTAGTAATCCATAAATTCTTGCCATTTGGCCTAGTTTCCCAATATTAAGCCAGTATTTCTCAAATTAGGTTCTGTAGAACCTTGAGGTTTGTTAGACTAAAGTGCATATTGATAATGGAGGAAACTTTATTGGCTGTCCTAAATTTTTATGTATAACATACAACATTAATCATTTGGCCACTGATAGAGCATGACTATTGCTGTGTTATTCCAAATTCTTTTTAATAGGCAAATAATTGTTGAAGTTTTGTGCTGTTTTTAAAAAAATTTTCTAGTAGGTAAAGTACTGGAAATTGTATGTTGGCTCAGGATTGATAGGAACAAATTAGGGGTTCTTCGGTAAATTCTTATAGCGGTTATGGTTGTGTATGATAAAATAGTTTGAGAAACACTGTGTTAAGCTAGCATTTGTGCTGGTTTTGTGGTTTATACTCTAGCTAACACTTGCTTTTTTCAGTCTTAATTGTTGATAATCTTTAAATTTAATCATACAGTATAAAAATGAATTTATAGATTTGCATTTGCGCATACATAATTTCTAATTATGCATGTTGAATTCTGTTCTGTTGTCATTAATCTTTAGCAACTTAATGTTTTCAAGGCTGTGATACATTGGTGGTTGTTTATTCTGCAGAAGAGCCAGCCTGTTATTACGAGTGCCATTATCCTCCGTGTACAAATTTGGAACAAGAGCCCAGAGAATTTAGCATCTGTGGCAGATGCCAACAAGCCCGTTACTGCGGTTCCAATTGCCAGCAACGTGACTGGCCCGTTCACAAGAAATTCTGCCGGGAAAAGCACAGACCGATTCTCAGGGAGAGGCCACCGGAACGGTGAATCGAACAAAATGTTCAAAGGACAGTAACAACTTTAAAAGAACACAAAGGCAGAGTTTGATTTCTAATTGTCTCACTCCCAACTGAAAATATTGTACTAAATGGCGTGAAGAGGCAATTGACCACATAACAAGACACACATTATTTACAAGAAGCAACGTTCGCCAGAAGGCACTCCAGTTTTCCCCCCGAAAGTGGTGCCGCAGCCGTCTGGAGCGACCGCTGCTGAGCGGATCCGTGCGGGCAAGAGCGAGAACCGATCCCCGCTACTCCGCCCGAATCCTACTCCCTGCCGTTTCGGTTCTGGTGAGAGTGATACAACTAGGACGAGGAAAAAAATCTCGCCACAGTCCACCGATAAGTTATTTATTGCAATCTTAGTTCTGTGGCGTGTCTACTGCCCACGATCCCGGTCCACCAGCGATATGTTTAAAAAAGGAAAGAAAAACCATGTAAATTTTGTTGTAAGTGTGAGAGAACTAACCGTTCAACTTTGCCATTTTATATGTAGCTGAATCGTTGTGATAATTTAAGAAAAAAGAAAAAATCATCTAATATATCTACATTTTTGCTCATTATACTGCACTAGTTTTCAACCAATGTTCCTGAGTGGCACCAAAATCTTTGTAAAGATGATATATATCATATATTATATATATATTATTCTTAACTTTTTTAAATTTTAAGAAAAAAACAACAAAAAAAAAACTTTAACTTTCTCCATACTTTAACCAATCAAATATATTTAAAAAAGAGAGAGAGAGAGAAAGAAGAAAGTTAACATTTATTAATTTCAAAAGAAAAAAAAAATACAAAAAAACATACACATTGACAGTTTATGTTCGATTTTAAACAACTAGATATTGATCACAAGATTTATACTGTTTTTCCTAGACAATTCTTTAGTGATTTATTTTGTACAATGCCCAGAGAGAAAAATAAAGGCACAAGAAAGTAAATTTTTAAGGGTTTTTTTTATTTATTTATTTAGGGAAAAAATAAACACAGGCAACTCAGTGTCTCCGGATTAACACCGACATAAATCGATTCATTACACAATCCCCTACACTAGCCGCTGCTGTGTAGTAGTATTGTAGCTGTAATAGTAGCGGTAGTAAGAATGACAAACGCAAGGTTAAAATCGATTTTATTGCCCGACGCTTCTACGACTGACCCCTTTGACGCGCGCTCTTAAAAAAGGTGCTTGCGCGTGCCGTTTTGCGCCGGAGCCAAAAATTTAATTTGGATGGGGGGAAAAACCAAAATATATTTTTAAAGCACCACCTCGCATTGGTAAGTTGTCAAATATGTTTAGAAAAATTCGAAAAGTGTCACTGCCCCGTTACTGGCGCAACAATCGATGTGCCAAAACAATTTTAGGTATTTAGAGTACAATTTCCTTTAGCGATGCGCATCGCTTCCTAAATTGTAAATAATAAGACTACTTGTTTTTTTGTATACGCCATTTAATTAAGCGAAAAGCCTATTTTTTTTATCGATAAATGGCGAATATTCGACGAAACGATAAGAATTTCCCTAAACGTGACCGGAGCGATAAAGACGGATCGTATTATAAACAGGAAATTCAAAAAGGAAAATGCTATCCTTTTGTAATATATTACGAAACGTTCGATCGGTAGGCGGAACGCGTGTCGCCATCTCGTATCACCTAAACGAATTAATTTCGATGTATACCCTCATTTAGTGCGCTCTTTTTTATAGCCGAGTGACATTAACTGTGAAATTAATTTTTGTAATACCGAACGTAACCCCTTTGTTGACTTTTTATAACGTGATAAAAACTCGTTATTTTATCAATAAATGGAGTCGGTTTCTAAATACGTTATATATATATATAAATTTTAATATAAAAATTTTATAGAATTCTGTTTAGGTGAAAGTTTATAACCAAGTATTACATTTTTCATCGTTAAATTTACTTAGAAAAACCTTCAAATCTTTAGTATTAAGTAAATTTTAAAATTTTAGTTGCAAGAGATGATTCAAAACGTGATTTAATTCATTGTTTATCACCACACTGGGCAAGAGAGAAGCTATTGGTATGTAAATTTAAGAAGTTTTTGGGTTAAAAATACAAACTGGTATTTTGAGGTATTTTGGAGAATAAGTGCATTAACAAACAAGATCAAGAAGGGAATTGTCAAATTTTTAGTACTTTTAAATATTTAAAAAAATTAATTTATAGTCAATATGAAAATTCTTGGAACTAGATACCTCCTGCTATTAAATGGAAAATGGCATTTTATAGTCACTTCATTCTACCCTAGTGACTATAAATTGTTTAGTAGTATTTTATTCATGAAACTGTACACTAGAATGTTATCAATTTATAAATCATCTGAATATAGAAAAGTACCAAAAATTCTGATCTTATAAGGCAACAGATCTGGAATACTTAGTCCAATTGATAAAATCTTGTTATAGTTAATAATGTCCATTTATTGTATTGAGGGAGACTTGCAAATTTTAAGAATTTCAAGTGCCCCAATAACTAACTTTAAATTATTCGACAAATGGAATTTTTCTAACAATAATTTACTTCCCAAAAAATATAAATTAATTGTAATGTTTAATTCTTTCTTCTTATATAAGAACTAATTGAAATATTAAATTTCTAATGAATCAAAACTATGACTGATGTATTGGTCAATACATTTCTTCTATTTTTGGTGCTCTCTTTTTTATGCTTAATATTTCTGTTATGATTAACCTTACTACTAATTTTTAGATGCATAATGAAGCGTCGTCGTCAATTTTAAATTACCATGAAAATTACTTGACTACTTCGTACTTAATTGTCAAAATTGCGATAGAAAAATTAGGCATTTAGTTTGCTTGATAAATATACTCCAAAAATATTTTTTGTCATTTTATTTAATAGTTGCTGAGTTGTATTGAGAACTGACCAAGTAGTAAACCTCTGAGGAATAAAAGGACTCGGGGGAATGCTTAGGGCTTTGAAGAGCCAAATAAGAAATCCTCACTGATCTGAAGAAAGTCGGTTTACAGAAAAATGTCCCAACAGACTATTCTGGCACCAAAAAAGGACCTTGAGCTTAAGTCTTTACAGCATGGCACCTATCAAATGTCGACTCAAAACAGGCTGTTGCCTTTTGCAGAGATATGAAAAATTCTAGTGTTGCAACGAATAGTATATTCGGCCAAACTATTCTACTTGATTAACGCACGTACGCAAATTGGCGCATTAAGGCAAGGACCTGCTCTCTATTGGCCCGCTGTCACTACGCTTTGTCAATCACGTTAATTCTTGACAGTTGTAGCAGACAGACAAGGGCATCATGGCAGTACTGTATGTGATAAATGATATCAAATGTGGATAACAATGAAATGACCTACACGTGTAAATAACGGAAAAAGAAGAGAGAAGAACTGTGAAGTGAAAATGTGAAAATAAATATGAAATTGAGTTGATAACATAATCAAACAAGTCGAGGCAGCTTATTGGCGCAAAATTCGTGGCCATCAATGTCAAACAATTGTTGTCATAGACTTTGGAAAGCTAAATGCTTGTAATAAAAGAAACTTAGCATGTACGGACGAAAGCCTGGGGCCGTTCAGGCTACCAAGCTGTCTCGAATCTGTGAAATCATAGGATGACAGTATAAGTCACAGTTATCTGTCTCTTTTCTCCGTTATCACCAGGCTATGAGTCACATAATTGTAAAATGGAAAATCTACGACGGAAAAGTGACGAATCGAAAGTATCGTGAGCGCATATTATGATGTATGCATACATGGACTAGAGCGATAGAGGAAAGAGAGAGGAAGAGTGCTTAAAAAGAAAGATAGGCTGGGTCAGATCTCAGATGTGCGACAATTCTCGAACGAATAAGTGTGTACGTCTGCTGATCTTTGTAATTATAAATTGCGAAAACATGTGACTAATATTATTTTCTTTTATATTTTGTGCATGTTATAAGTTATAAATAAATATAAACAAACAACACTAACCCAATAACATTAAATATAAATACCAAAATGATTAATTTACTGTGTTTTTGTTATTTCTTATTCCTGTTTTTACGTATTCGGTATTCGGCCGAATACCGAATAGTAACCGATTATTCATTACATCACTAAAAAATACTCTTTGCAGATGAAAAATTTTTACCACAGAGGAGTAATTTATGAGCAAAATGATCACGTCTATGCCATGTCAGCAAAAGATATTCCACTGCATGCCCTGAAGTCTATTGAGACAGCAAGCTTTTCAAGTGACAGTCTGGTTGGGAACCGGTTGGCAAGGGAAAGCAGAACTTCATTTTGTATCAATAGAGGTTTAAAGCACATGTTGGGAATTACAAAATGTTCTCCAAACAGTGGTAGAATTATTTAACAGAACTGTGACTGAAAAGGATTGAAATGAAATCTGGAACTTTCTCTTTCGACCAATAAAAGGATAGCCTGATGCATCATCCAACCTGAATCCATTAAGCTCAAACTGCCAATATAAAGAGTAATTTAATGTCTTATAGTCTGAATTATCTGTGCTAAATCCTACACATAGAAGAGATTTTTTCTAAATCATCAACATTTGAGAATGGGCTTAAAAATAAGAGGCAGTTATATGAACATATAATTTGCATATGTGAAGTCATATGGAAAAGTAGCCCATTCTCGTAGAAGGGATTTCTTGCAAGCTTCTGGGGTGTCATGAGATTCCCTGTTGTGACTTACAATGATAATGGTCTACCTCAGTTGGGTGATACAAAAATAAAGTTAAAATCTCCAATAATTATTGTCCTTATAAAAATTAGTATTATGCTGCTTGCATTGTCTTTCCTGTATGTCAAATTAAATTCTTCTGCACTGTACAATACCATGTAAAATATTGATTCGAGCCACCAATTCAAATTGCATTTGCTTGTAAAGGAAGAAGTAATGAACAGAATTGAGACAACATAACATCATCAAAAGCTGCATAAGTCTGCCAATGTCAAGTTAAATGTGGTGCTACTTGAGAATAAATAAATAGATAACGATTAAAATGTACATAGTTTTATTTAATATAAAATTTTCCTTTAATTAGTTACAACTTTTTAGCATTTGTTTTAATTTTTATCTACTCGACAAATATCGACAGAGAACTTTGGGTTAAACAAAATGTTAAATTTTGGTTTTGTAATACAATTTTAATTACTTTCCTTTTGTTCAAAACTTATTAAATATGAAACACTCAAAATTTTCTGCATGGAAAATATTCTTAATCTGTCAAAACTTTTGTTAACACTTCAATAAATTCAGAAGATTCAAATAAATTTGATACATACAATTTTATACATATCTATAATACACAAAATTACAAACATTTGATCCTTTGACCTGGTGTTTCAAGTGTGATAAAAATTTAAATTGGAAACTTAAATATCCTTCGTTAGGTTTTAAATAGCCATCGCCCAGTAATTACTTGAGGTTATACTTTAATTTATTTTAAAAATAAGAGGCAAAATGACTAAGTGGCAGTTATATGAACATATAATTTGCATATGTGAAGTCATTAATTCGAGGCAGTTCTCGATTATTAATCATCAATAATTGGAACTGCATATTTGACTTGAAATTCTTCTGAAAATCTATGATTTGGCTTACCTATACAAGTTATCCAAATAGCAAAAAAAATGTTTATTCTCCTATGCAAATGTCAATACAATTAAACCAAAGTGATTTCTTTACATCTTTGAACTCTGAATCTGTACGGTCAATTTGTATAAATCTAAATGCTTCGCCTCTCCAAAATATACCGCAAAATCTATAATCGAGGCAGGAAGATTTCTATATATATATTAGGTCTGAGTTATATGCTAGACAGGATATGTCGAGTCTCTCGTACGAAATTCGAAAGGCACAATTTGCCTTCATGTTTTTGAATAGATAAACTAGTTTCGATAGAACAGCCATAGCACGAGGAAGTCACCACGTGGAATATAAGTTATATCACAAAGAAAAAGGCAATTGCAGATTTCTAATTCCCGTTACGAGCACCTTTAGCAGTAAAATTCGCATATATACTGTTTGTAGATGCACTCCAGTTAGGAAGATTGAGAATATAAAAGTTTTCTGTACAAAACTGTAGTACAGAATTCATAACATGGATTTTAAAAATGGAAAATATTAGTTTTAGTGTTGATCATACTGTCATCAGTCTACCCGAACACAAGGGACAAGGATGGAAATTATCCGTCACAGACTTTTCAATGAGGTTGGAAGTTCCGATTTCCGTCAGTAACTCCATTATCTTCTTTGCCGTGGTGTCTTCGGTTTTGCTTGGATTTGTTGCATTGTTAGGAACTTGCATATTTTCAACTGTGTTACTGGACTTCATTTCAGTATTTGAATCTTCCCCTTTACAAATATAGCATTTGACATTATTGACTCAATGACAATAATTGTAAGTGTATTTTATTTAAATATATTATCAGACACTCACCATTTAGAATGTTTCCATTTTCACCTGTAGCTGATATTATTTTTCCAGGGAAATGATTACTACCTGTTAGAACTGAAGGACCATAAGGTTTTAGTTGTTTACGTTCATCAAGCATTCTCATTACTAAGTTCTGGAGATCTCCTAATTTAGCCTATTAAAAATAACTTCATTATCAATTTTAATTCAGTAACTACATGGATCAAAATGCATCAAATTATACTCGTAAAAATACTAATGAACAATAATTGTGTGTGTTATAAGACATGCACAATAACATGCAATCATAATAGAAATATTAACATAGTATAGTAGTATTACTCTGAATGATAAATAACAAACTAAAAATAAAATGATTTATTAATACAAGATACCAACACATTTTAGGCTGTATGGCAGTCACAATTATGCTTATTAAAGATATGATCTGTATCATCATCAACCAGTACAAGTACAGAGCAAGGACTACCACAATCTACATTGCCTACAATAAATTATAGGAGTCTGGACAAGGTTTCAAACCTGAATCATCATGTAGCAATTAGGGTTTCTTTCCTGGGATTCCCGCCATTTATTCCCTACGAGAAAATTCCCGGGAATTTTTTTTTGGGAAATCTCACATTTCAATAATAATTTATCGTGTCAGGTTTTCTTTCTACCATTTATTATACGAAAAGTTGCATTTTGATGACTCATCTAAGAGAGAAATTTTGAGGTTTCATGCTGCATATAATAATATGCAGCATAAAGCATATATACATAACTATGTTTTACAAGTTTCTACTTGTTAGTTCACGTAATATCTATGTATTGTGTTCACACATCATTGAGCAGCGGAGCACTTGCTGAAAGTAAATATCACTCATTGCACTTTAGTTTCAAATTCGCATTTATAAGTTAATGAATTTGTAAAAGCTTACATTCCCATTAATATCCTATCGTTTGTAACTGTAAGTGTGATTATTTGAAATTTCTTTATTAGTCAATTATGCATATTTTACAACAATTTATTTTAATATAATTTATAAAATCAAACCATTGTAATGCCAGAGTCATTTGTTTGGAAACATTTTTTATAAAACCAAGTATAACTATCAACAACCTGTAGAGAGTGTAAAGCTGAGATAAAGTGCAAAGGTTGGTCTAACAAAATCTATTATCGTTCTTAATAAAACAGAATACTTTGCAAGAAATAGTTACAAAGTTTTCTATGCTAGATGGTATAGCTATTAATTCTATTGCAAAAGTGAATATATCAGTAATCTTTGGCAAAGAAAAGGTATACTTTGCCAACAAATCCAACTCATGTCATGGATCTGGTTCACTCACAATACAAACAGATAAAAGAAAGTTTAATTTCTAAAATTGCAGAGAAAATAACTTCAGGAACAAGGTTTAGTATATCATTAGACGAGTACGCTTCTCTAAACAATCGTTGATATATAAATATTAATGTACACATAGGAGAGGGAAAATCTTGGAATTTAGGAATCTTAAGAATTTCTGGTTATCTATCTGCTGAAGTTGCTGTTAATATGGTCAAAGAAAAGTTAGCTGAATTTCATATTTCTTCAAAAAAACACATGGTGGCTTGTGTAACTGATGGTGCAACTTTGATAAAAAAAAAAAAAAAAGGGGGAAGATTAATTGAATGTGAGCACCAATTGTGTTATGCACATGGAATCCACTTAGCAGTGTGTGATGCTTTATATCAGAAATCATCTACCCACCTTACAATCCCCTTTATTGATGAAAACCAGCCAGAAATACGTATATCACCAAAGAGATGAATCTAACATTGATGAAAGTGAAGAAGATTTCACTCAAGGTATTGAGGTTGAAAATTTTATTTCAGAATATGAGCACACTAATGAAAATCTGTTTGAAATAAGATATAGCATCTGAATTGTATGAAATTGACGTCTCTAAAATCATCAATAAGTCAGAAAGATAGCTAAAACCTTTCATAAGTCACCTGTGGAGAATAATGTATTACAAGAATACGTTAAACAGGATCATGGAAAACCTTTACATTTAAAATGTTTGATTCAAAAACCAGTGGAACAGTCTTTTAGCAATGCTAGAACGGTATATCAAGATAAGACCATTTGTGTTGAAAGCTCTCATTTATCTCAAAGAAGATAAAAATAGTACTCTTAGCCTTGAAAATTAATGTAATTCATGGCATCGCTAGAACCCTTAAAACTAGCTTTTGAAGAGCTAGGTAGAAGAAAATCTACTCTACTTTCAGCAGAGGATATTACCTCTTTTATTTTGAATGAACTGAAACAATTGAACACTGCTTTTTCTAAAAAAATACATGAATATTTTGTTATCTGCATAAAAGAGAGAGGAAACAAAAAATTGATGGGATTGTTACTTTACCTCACTGGTGAAAACAAATATAAGAAGTTCAAGAGTGACAGCACATTCCAACAATCTGGGGTAATTATAATTTCATCAGCAAAACAAATATTTGATTGCCTTTTTGGAGAACCTTCTATTTCTGAATCTAGTGAAGGTAACGAACTCAAATATGTACAAGAATCACAAAGTGTCATACTACCGAATGAAATGACTTTAGCTGACAAACTAAATGCATATCTTGAAGCATCCAAGAGATCAACAATACGACAAGAGCAGAGAGCAATAAACAAAGAATTAAGTACTGGAGAGCAGTTAGAAACTGAGTTAGCAATCTTCAAAAAAAACAGGCATAAAATCTCAGAAAATTTCCCTTCTTTTGAGAGCTTTGTAAAGCATTCCACCCACCTCGATAGAGTCTGAAAGGGTGTTTTCAGCTGCAGGTTTTTTTGTGACCAAATTCAGAACTAGATTAAGTGATCAAAGTATCGATCATTTTTGCTTTTTGAAGTCTTATTATGAAAATTTATAAGGTTTTTTTTTTGAGAGAGAGAGATTTTTTCATAAATTTTTTTAGTAGTATTGTTTATGTTCAACTAAAAATATTATAATTTTTTTTGGAGCAGTTGTATTTTTTATTCAATTCAAAATGATTGTCTTTTTTCTCATTAAATTTATGGAATAAGTATATTTTTTAGTTCATCGTTAGAAATAAAACAGTATTTTTTTCATAATCATTATTATGTTCATTAAAACTTCCTTTATTTTACTTTCATCTTGTAATGTAAGAGAACATAAATTAATTGAGCCTAACACATCCGTATGGGTGAGATTGACTCTAAACTTTCAGTTACTTACTAGAAAATAAATTAAATTATTCAAATTTATGATATTCCTGTATGATATTTTTATTCATATGAAATTCTATCTTATCTCATCCCGGAATTTCCCAGGATCCCAGGAAAAGAAATTATTTTTTCCATAATCCCGCTGGAGACAAATTTCCTGGGAAATGAGAAACCCTACTATCAATATAAAGTATTACATCAGTTTAAATTTGGATCATTAACAACTTATCATATGAGTCTGGCCAACAGAGGAATTTACATTTTTAAAATTACATGATAATAGAATGTTATGTAAAATTCTAGTATTATTATACATTTATTTGCAAATTAAAAAATATGGCTAGACATATATATTTTACTATCAGGATTGTGAATAAAAATAATGATAAGTGTGCTACCATCAAAAATATTTTATGGAAAACTTAACAAAAGTGTACTAAAAGTTATAATCCAATGATAGATATTATTTCAAAAGTTTAAATAATTTATTTTATTTCTGTTGTTTAGTTTAATTTATTTGAAGAAAATGAGTAACACTGTAAATAATATAATGGATCATACTTATTAAAATCTTTGCTGCTCTGTTATGATACAGAGTAGCAAGGATCAGTCTATACTATTTGAAAAAAATACAGGTTAAACATATTTAACAGGATCTGAAGTACATATCAGGTCACCAGCATATACTCTCTCTTAAATATTCCAGAGCTGCATTTATCTTGTATAGTTCCTGGCAAAGATTTGTGAAATGACCTGTTTAGACAGATGGATAGCTGAGGTGGTTAAAACATTACTTACCATCTCTGGAGGACCTGAAATCAAATCTGGGTGAACAACCCAAGAAAGTTTCTAGGTGGTCTCTTTCAAATATATTAGACCCCTGTCCCTCACTTTTAATTGTACTATCATGAATTTGGGTAAAGACCTCTTAGTACCCGCAGGAAATATAAATAAATAAAATATATTTTTTTAAAATCATTTTTTGTATTATATTTCCTATAACTAATGAACAATAATTGTGTGTGTTATAAGACATGCACAATAACATGCAATCATAATAGAAATATTAACATAGTATAGTAGTATTACTCTGAATGATAAATAACAAACTAAAAATAAAATGATTTATTAATACAAGATACCAACACATTTTAGGCTGTATNTCAATTATACTTATTTTACTTTTATTTTAAATAATTTTAAAAACAACTTTTTATTTTTTGAAAGAAAGTTAATAAATACCTATTGTATCAGTTTCACCTTGAAGTTGTGTAACAAGATGTTCTAACTGCTGTTTCTGATCAGATAATTCAGCAATTTGATCCATTGTTTTCTTGAAACGTTCCTATTTAAAAAAAAAAAAACAAATTAAAACTTTTGATTATAGAATAATGATAAAACATTCTTTCTATTAATTGGCAAATCAATAATTTGCTTAAAGTATCACAGCACTTTTGAATCATAATCTTATCTTTAAAATTCAAATTCAAATATATTTTTATATAATAAGTAACTCCTCAATCTTCATTACGAATTAATATTTTTTAATTTGTAATATTGACAACATATCAAAGAAATTTACCTCTAACTGTTTCATAGCATTTTTCATATGCTGATAGTCTTCCATTGATATATTCTCATTATTTGTGCCTATAACAGAAATTAATTTTTAATTAAACATACAAAAATTATATCTTATATGAACAAGATAACATTTAAACAAGAAGGATAACATTTAAAGGAAGGAAAGGAAAGTAATTAATAAACAAACTTGCTTCAAATGAATTCTTTAAACATTATCCAATATTCCTAATATATTTATTTATTTCAACTTTCTACTTGAATTTATTAATTTTAAAACTTTGGGTAAGTATCAATAAAAATTCTGTATTTGCTAAATTAAGCCATATTGTAAAACATGGTAAACAATACCTAACTAATACACAGGTATAGTGACAGGATCATTAATCTCATTAAAACTTTATCAGATAAAACAATTTATTTGTTTCTGATAATTTATCAATGGATAAAGATTGCTTCTTAGTCACATGTAATTCAAGTATTTTCTATTATTTACACTACAAAATTTATCAATTAACTCAAAATTATTCAAATTATATGGTTATAAAAGATCAGTTATAAAGCTTGCTAGCTTCTTCTTTGATGAATAAATTAAACTGAACTTCTACAATATAGTATGAAGCCAAATAACTTAATTCTAATTGCAGCCAATAGCAGAAAATAAAAAAACTTATAGCAAATGTTAGAACAATTTTAAAAATTAAATGTAAACTTTTATAACCACTTAAAAGGAGTTTTTTGAATGAATAAATTGAAATGTTATGTCCGTTGAATCCAACGTTCACTCAAATTTATAAATCTCAGATGATGATTAATTCTCAGATATTTTATTTAAATGCATTTTGGATTGAAACTCTTGTTGATCCCTCTTCAGTAAAGGTCTTCAAAATCAATCACAGAAACTTAACGTTACTATGATTGATTTTGAAAAGTCCAAAATATTGGTGTAGGCTCTGTCACAGATTGTACCTTTACCGAAAAGGGATCAATGAGAATTCTGATCTGAAATGCATTTAAATAAAATATCTGAGTAATTCTTGAACTCAGGTGAATGTCAGATTCAAAGGACATAACATTTCAGTTTATTCATAAAAAAAAAAAACCATTTTATGTGGATAATTATAAAAATGAATGATTATATCCAGCAAATACTGCTAATTTTAGCTTTGTATTAAATGTAAACTTTTACAAGCTGGCCTATCAGAAATGATTTAATCCTAATTTTTAAGAATATTTAAGATTTTTAAAAAATTCTTAACATATTTTTGACTATGTGCAATTAATTATAAGATTGGAAAAATATTCTTTACTGCTCAACTTAGCTTCTTACACATTTTAATACAAGCAAAAAATTTATATGTTTATGATTATACATAAAATATTTATTTCAGATAATTCTGTTACACAATAAACCTTAATTATAGAAATGAGGTTTATTGTGTAACTTTCAAAAATTTGCTACTTGAAACAATAAATAATGTATCTTGGTTTAATGCCAAACAATCTGCCAAATCATTGGGCTATTTTTGTGTTATGTTAATAATTAATTTGACTACAGGTAGACAGATATGCTGCTGTCTTATATTAATGTTTATAATTACAATAAATTAATTTTTAATTTAGAAATTTCTAGAAGTAAAGAATCTGGCTGGAGCAGGACTTAACCCGTTGGGACTTTTTCTTCAGACCCGAATGCAATTCGAAAATTTTTTTTGTTTTTGAATATTAATAAACCCATAACTTCTGCTTACCATACAGATGCATTGCAAATTACACTACCCAGACAGCCATCCAATCTTTACTTCAAAAACTATTCATTTCAGATACAAATATACAGATCATACATGATCGAGTGTTTGGCATTAATTAATTAAATCAGGTTACGTACCTTGATTTATTTGATGGTCCTTAATTTCTCTCATTTGTGCTTTTAAGTTTGTTTTTATATTTTGTTGCTCTTCTAATTGATGCAATAGCTGATCTCTCTCCATTTCTAACTGTCTAACTGAAGCAGAAAGTGATGCAACCTAATAAAATAAATAAATAAATTTTANTTATATATATATATATATATATATATTACTATAATCAAGTTAACTTACTAAATCATTTCTCTTTGAAGAATCCCTCTCATCTAGTTTATCACTAGACACTGCAATTTCTGCCTGCCTGGCCAAATTCATTCTCAATTCTGTATTCTGATTCATTAGGGCATTGATTCTTTCCTTAAAATATAAAATTTTAAATTAAATTAAAACTTTTCAAAAATACAATAAATAAATATCTGTAGGCTTAAAAATGCCAAAAGTTACCAGAATAATTCAGCATTCTAAACTTAATTAAATTTTCTAATACAAAACAGAATTGAAAAGTCACTGAAATTTATCACTATATATATATTATAGAATTGATTAAAAACTGGTCAGATATAATATGTATTAATAATTGTGCATTGTACTTAAATTATTTACAATAATTATTTTAATAAAAAATCAAAAAACCTATTAATAAATTGACATGATATTAAAATAAAGATGGAAAAATATATCAATTATACATTTTGTAATGTGTGTTCTAAAAATTTCAATCATTAAACATAAGAAATGGAACAAAATTATACAGTGGTTGATCGGTTAATAAACATAATCCGTTCAAAGACAATGTTTGCTACCCGAATTGTTTGTTAACTGATTATCAATTTACCACAGATTTTTATGGAAATTTGATTAATTCATTCTGGAGACCCCCAAAAAATAGTAAGAAATTATATAATATTTTTATTTATGTTTATTTATATGTAATAACGAACTAAAGGCAATATCTCAAATTTTTCATGGATGACACATCTTTGTTTCTCAGATGTGATTTTTGTTACTCCTTTATCTGCTTGATTCTTTTTGATTATATTTTTCTTAGATAAGACTGTATCTACTATAGACCTGTTGAAGCCATACTGCCTAGGAACATCAGACATTTTCTGCCCACTCTCTACCTTGGCTATTATCTCTTGCTTAGTTTATGTAGTGAACACAGTTCTTGACACTCCACTCTTTTTAGGCTCCATAATCATATCAATTTTTTTAAATAAAAAGTTCAGAAAACAGAAATAAACTAGTGCAAAAAAGGTTATGTATACAACTGTGAAAGTGTCATTCCATAAGCTATTCATAGATTCCAGTAAAAAATAGTTTTACAAATGTTAAATGCAGTGTTGCTTCTTGTGTGTGCTCTGTCAGGTGTGTTATCCAAACATAAAAATCTTTCACGAAAGTGTTTGTTGTCTTGTTTGTTTGCAGTCTGAACTGTTTGTTAACTGATCATCCACTGTATCTGATAAAATAAGAACAAATCTTTTCATTTGCTTTCTCAAAATTTGAAAATTTGAATTTTCTAAGTTTGATAAACTGTCAAGTTCTTAAAACTGATATCAGCAATTTCTATTGATCTTTACCTAATTTTCAATACACATATTGTTCAAATTAATTATGCTAAATTCTCATTACTTCTCATTTTCTCTCTGTCTCTTTCCAAATCTCCAATGAAAAACTGTTCTTTTTTTATCAATAAATAATTTCTAAAAAACCATCTGTATAAAATTACACTAGATTTATCGACATTATATCACNGACTGGCAACAACGCCTCAACAGATGTATAGCTGCCCAAGGAACCACTTTAAAAGGGATAACATTAATGTATAAAAATAAAATAAAATTGTTGCAAAAAAATTCGTTTTGTTACTTTTCTGCCACACCATGTAGGTATCTCAACTGAATGAGTGCACAATGTCCTGCATGAAAAAGTTGTGTGCACAACTGTTGACTGTGGACCCATGCCAAAGGACATTTCAACTCAGTGTTTGGCAATGTTTAATCACAATCCACAGGACTTTTTGCATCAATTTGTGACTGTGGATGAAACATGGATTCACCACTATATACTAAAGTCAAAACAGTGGACAATGAATGGTGAAAGTGAACCAATAAAGGCAAAAACTGTTTTGTTGGCTGGCAAGGTGATGGCCACTGTTTTTTTGGGGGGATTCCCAAGGAATCATTCCTGGTTGATTACTTGGAGAAGGGTAAAACAATAACAAGAGCCTATTATGCAACATTATTAGACCATTTGAAAAAATCTGAAACAAAAACAAACAAGAATGGTGCACAAAAAAAGTGCTCTTTCACCAAGACAATGCACTGTCCCACAAACCAATATCTATATAAATGTAGCTTAGAGATTTTATGATTATCCTTATGTATATATATGTATAAAGCCTCCATTACTGTTCAAGGTCAGTGGTATAGCATTGTTCAATGTAACAGATGATCTTATCATCAAGTGGTCACCCACTGCTGTGTCCATGTATCAAATTTCCTGTTTTCTGACAGTGTTTCGGTAAGTAATGCATTGTTAATTGTTATTTCACTTATACACAATTCACAGTCAATTTTCCAAATACCAATACCAGTATTATTTTGGCACTTCTGAAGAGTTTTCTGCCTTAACTCAACCGACTGCTTCCAGCAAGGCATATTTTGTCACAGTTGTTAGCAATAGATTCATTTGCATATTGAATTTAAACCATTTAACTTCCAATATGCAAATATTTTTGTTCTCTGCTAGACAAGATAATATTTTTGTTCCCTCTGCAATTATTGTAGTACAGCACAGTGCTACAAACAAATTATTCATGATTATATGATATAATTGTAAGCACAAATTCATACACCTTAGCATTCTTCATTTAGGAGTCAGTCATTTGTGAATTTGAACACTTGGAACAAAATTTTAGAGCATCCCAGGAAAGGAAATCAGTATTGAAATTTAATATATGAAGTAATATTTCAAATAAGTGCCTTAGGAGTTTGATTCGTTTCTTTGATACTTCCTTTATTAGTTCCCATTTTCATAATGATAGATTATATTCAATCATTTTATTGTAATAAGATAATCTTATTACATTGGGGTATTAACAAAAATAACAAGGATATTTATTTAAATTTTGTTACATTAGATTAATGTTACATAACATATTTACTATTCAATAATCAAGACCATTGTTCAGCTTATTTAAAATATAAATAAAAAAAACTATGAATCTTATACATCTTGCATATTGGTATATTGTCAAGATTAGATCGAAAATTTTATGATTAGCATCAAACATTTCTTTAATTTTAAATTTACGTTGCGCTTCTTCGATAGCTGGACATACAATGAGAATATGATATATATTAAAAGATTCAGCTTTACACCAATAACATTTCTTTAAGAAGTCAATGTAGATGTTACCAATCAGTAACAAATTATAATTAAGTCAAATTTGAATTAGCATATGTTTAATATTTAATTTAGTGTTTGACATAATAATATTTGAATTTAACGGAAAATGCAACATATTCAGATACCAATAATGATAAGTCAAATTTAAAATGGAATCTTGATCTTTAACAATTGATTGAGATAAAGCAGTATTCATCATTAAATAATATGCATACATTAATACCTCGACTTACGCGATTTTCAAATCTCGTCGATTCGTCTTTTGTTTGAGCGCCACGCAACCCTTGATTATTCACTCCCCCACACTATTGTTCATGTTCGGATGTGTCCCCACACAGCTTACATGTTCAGATGTGTCGCGCGGAATTGACACATAGCTACGATTTATTTTGTGTTATTTATTTCTGTGTTTGTTATATCTACAGAGACTTGAGAGACTCTACTATGTCATCCAAACGAAGTAGAACTAATTCTTCTGCATCAAACAAGAAAAGAAAAACTTTATCTTTGGAATGTAAAGTTAACATTGGGTATGTTCATAAAGTCGAACGAGTTAAACGAGAATGACATCATCATTACTCCTATTTCGTTAGACTTTTCGAACAATTCATTACTAACGCGTTTAACTCGTTTGACTTTACGAACGTACCCATTATTAAAGACTTCGATACAAAAATGAAAATTTGTGAATTGGCAAAGAAGTTTGATCTACCGGAATTGTCGGTCAGAACAATTATAAAAGGCAAAAAAAAAAAATTCTCAAAGCTGTGAAAAATGCTCAATCTTTAAATTCAAGCATCATATGTCACAGTATTATCGCCGAGATGGAAACAATGTTAAAATTATGGCATAATAATCAAGTAAATGTGAAAAATTGTAAAATAATATAGGCCTAATTTGTTATACATATGTATTATCTAAGATTTTATTAAACATTTTTCTCTAAATTATTGTTTTCTTTAGTCTCTGGCCCCAATTAAAAATTATTTGTATGTATTTATATGCGAAATTATACCCCGACTTATGCGAATTAGACTTACGTGGTTACCGCTCGGTCTCACCTATCGCGTAAATTCGGTCCCACCTATTACTGTATTTACAATTGTCTTCAGTTGAGTTGAGAATCAATATACAAATACCAAAAGATTGCATAATTTTTAAAATTTTTGATACCATGTATCATTTATAATAGATGAGTTTTTATTTTGGTTACTTATTAACTGAAATAGAAATTTAACTTGGAAAGAACAATTTTGATTAACCATAAGTCACCATGATTTAGTTTTAGATATAGAAAAAGGGGTAAAGGAATCATTACATACCAGTCCCTCCGAAACATAGCTATAAGTCAAGGAATATTGATCCAATAATATGCAATCACCACGAAGTTTAGGGTTTTGACCTTCTTAATTCATATAAAAAAAGGAAGTAGTTGTTTACATCGTAGTCTAGATCCCTTGGCAAGATCCTATGATATTTGAGTATCTTTCCATTCATTCAATAAATTTTGCTGTTTCATTTTAATAAAACTCTAATATACGTAATCTCAAATCTTAATATTTTTAAAAATTAACTTAATAGTTGGATATTTTGATTTAGTCATTGGAATTACCACTATAAAATCGTCCAGAGTGATTTCTTGTAGTTTTAATGTTAAATTAACTAAATTATAAATTTCTAATTTGCTGGATATCTATATAATATTATATTATTATGATGATGTTCATTTACCAGATAATCCATTTGATATTGCATTTTTTCATTTTCCATTTTCAGATTAATGATTTGTTGTTCAAGATTAGTAATTTGAGAGTTCATTTTTTTATTTTGCTCTTTAGTTTCTTGGACACTATTACAAATCAGGTCCAGTTCTTCTTTGATAAGATGTCATTTGATTGAGTATTTTTGTATTTGACATATTAATTAATTCAGAAATTTTATTCCATAATGCTGTAGTTGATATGTCAGATGAATTTTTCAGATTATCTGATGAAGAAGAAAAAAGTTCAATTGTCTCACATGAATATTGTGAACTTTGAAGTGTTTCTGGGTTTAGTCCAGTATCTGCAGTAGATGATTCAGGGGAGATCTTTTTGGCATATGTATTGTATTCTGTTATAAGTCTAACATTAGATGATGATGAAGTTTCCTTTCTATTATCTGATTTGGTTCGGTGACTTGACGGTCTTCCTCTTTTTTTTTTGGAGAGCGTTGCATCTTAGTTATTGTTATTATCTCTTCTAATAAGTTTAAAATTCTTTAACTCTAATAACCCATGCAAGCAAATAAGTATTATTGGCATTCAATATTCAATATTTCCACTATATCAAAGTACGCAGAAAATCACGCCAACAGCTCCAATTGACAGGTGCACCCCTCCATATAATGATAGATTATATTGAAAATCATTGGGTATTATTAAAAGTAAATAACAAATTCTTCATACTAAAGTTTTCTCTCATAATATNTATACGTAATCTCAAATCTTAATATTTTTAAAAATTAACTTAATAGTTGGATATTTTGATTTAGTCATTGGAATTACTGCTATAAAATCGTCCAGAGTGATTTCTTGTAGTTTTAATGTTAAATTAACTAAATTATAAATTTCTAATTTGCTGGATATCTATATAATATTATATTATTATGATGATGTTCATTTACCAGATAATCCATTTGATATTGCATTTTTTCATTTTCCATTTTCAGATTAATGATTTGTTGTTCAAGATTAGTAATTTGAGAGTTCATTTTTTTATTTTGCTCTTTAGTTTCTTGGACACTATTACAAATCAGGTCCAGTTCTTCTTTGATAAGATGTCATTTGATTGAGTATTTTTGTATTTGACATATTAATTAATTCAGAAATTTTATTCCATAATGCTGTAGTTGATATGTCAGATGAATTTTTCAGATTATCTGATGAAGAAGAAAAAAGTTCAATTGTCTCACATGAATATTGTGAACTTTGAAGTGTTTCTGGGTTTAGTCCAGTATCTGCAGTAGATGATTCAGGGGAGATCTTTTTGGCATATGTATTGTATTCTGTTATAAGTCTAACATTAGATGATGATGAAGTTTCCTTTCTATTATCTGATTTGGTTCGGTGACTTGACGGTCTTCCTCTTTTTTTTTTGGAGAGCGTTGCATCTTAGTTATTGTTATTATCTCTTCTAATAAGTTTAAAATTCTTTAACTCTAATAACCCATGCAAGCAAATAAGTATTATTGGCATTCAATATTCAATATTTCCACTATATCAAAGTACGCAGAAAATCACGCCAACAGCTCCAATTGACAGGTGCACCCCTCCATATAATGATAGATTATATTGAAAATCATTGGGTATTATTAAAAGTAAATAACAAATTCTTCATACTAAAGTTTTCTCTCATAATATAAATATATTTAAGATAAATTTTATCTTAATCAGACCTATTATATTAAAAAAAATACATAAAACATTCATGTTACAAGAAATTATTGTAAATAATATTCAAATCATCATCTTAAGTTTTAATTCTTTTAAATTTAGTTTTATTTTGTTCACTATTTTAACTACTAATAACAGTATAATTTTATATTTCTGTTAAGAATTTAACTGTATAATTCTAACTTTGTTATATGTACCATCAAAATCATTATCATAATTTTGACTTTTGCTATCCATTAGTTTTTAAAATTCAGTAGAATCTGTATTTCTAACAAACTTTAAAAATTAAAAATATTATAGTAACAGAATTTTTATTAATATTTACTTGATCTTTCAGTTCTTGTAATTCTTCTTCTTGCTGGCTTAATCTTTCACCCAATTCTTTTGTAATGTGATGTTCTCTATCAAGTTTCTCAGTTAATTCTAATTTGTCATGACTCTGTGTAAAACAGAAAATATTTGTTAAAAGAAAAACTAGTTAATAATGAGTTGAGATTTTGCAAATATATCATCCGTAATATATTAGTGTTTTGATTCAATTAGCATTTTCATTTAAATTTATCTAAATCAAATCTATTAATAATTTTGAAATTAACAGATATCATCCTGTAAATCTCAGAATGAAAAACCAACATTTCTGATGGAAAAATATTTAACAGCCATTTTTATAATTTAAAAAATAATTTCAATAAAATATAGTTGAATAATTCTACATTGTATTTCTTCATACAGAAGTGATTAATTAATATACTGATGATTAGACATAAATGCAGTCCTTTGAGATAAAAAAAATTCAACATTGTACATAAAGCTACATTGTAAGGAGGAACGCTCTTCCATGTGCATGGAAAACTCATATCACATGGATAGCACTGTTTATCGACTTACTGTTCAACCTACACAGACACTCACTGCTACATTTTGTTCTAGCTTTTTCATACCAAGGCACTAAGGGTTAATTAAAGCTGTGTGTATTTAGTGGAAAAAGCTAGACAATAAACTGGGTCCATAGGCATGCTGTATGCAGATCCACATTCTATCAATGTTTATTACACTACGCCACCAGTAATAAAAACATTTGAGATTAAAAAATGCTTTCTGTTATTCTGTTCACAATTCTGCTATATTCGAACATGTATGCACATTTGCATGCATACAGAAAACTAAATTATATTTAACAAAAGCAAACCAACCATTTTTACAAATCCTGTATGAAGTTCCTCTAGCTGTTTTTTTAATTCGCAGTTTTGAGCCACGGCACGGCTAGCTGCAATTTTATCACTTTGCATCGTGTCTAATAATTTCTCTTTATCAATTTGATTTTCTTCAATCCTTCTAAGGGAATTCTCCAATTCTTCTATCCTAATCTCTTTCTCTTCAATAATTTTACTCATTTGTGCATTATCATTTACCTAAAGTAATAATTTGTGTGATTTATATCCTTTAGAAACAGAAAAAATCATTTAATAATATGTTACTTTGAAAAAATTATGTTCCTTACCTGTGTATCATAATCCTGTTTCATTTTCTGCTGTATACTTTCTAATTCTTCTATCTGCTTTTGAAGATTTTTGTTTACACCGTTTTCAATAATGGCACCTTTGAATTTAAATTTTTATAACTATAAATAAGCTACGGAGAGAATATTCTCAATTTTAATAAGCTTAAAATTATCATATTTTATTTAAATAATTAAATATTCTTGTTTATTCAAAAACTGCATTATTCTAATGCTAAATAACTGGTTTAAAATAATTTTTACCCCAATATATGGCCTAATTTGTTATACATATGTATTATCTAAGATTTTATTAAACATTTTTCTCTAAATTATTGTTTTCTTTAGTCTCTGGCCCCAATTAAAAATTATTTGTATGTATTTATATGCGAAATTATACCCCGACTTATGCGAATTAGACTTACGTGGTTACCGCTCGGTCTCACCTATCGCGTAAATTCGGTCCCACCTATTACTGTATTTACAATTGTCTTCAGTTGAGTTGAGAATCAATATACAAATACCAAAAGATTGCATAATTTTTAAAATTTTTGATACCATGTATCATTTATAATAGATGAGTTTTTATTTTGGTTACTTATTAACTGAAATAGAAATTTAACTTGGAAAGAACAATTTTGATTAACCATAAGTCACCATGATTTAGTTTTAGATATAGAAAAAGGGGTAAAGGAATCATTACATACCAGTCCCTCCGAAACATAGCTATAAGTCAAGGAATATTGATCCAATAATATGCAATCACCACGAAGTTTAGGGTTTTGACCTTCTTAATTCATATAAAAAAAGGAAGTAGTTGTTTACATCGTAGTCTAGATCCCTTGGCAAGATCCTATGATATTTGAGTATCTTTCCATTCATTCAATAAATTTTGCTGTTTCATTTTAATAAAACTCTAATATACGTAATCTCAAATCTTAATATTTTTAAAAATTAACTTAATAGTTGGATATTTTGATTTAGTCATTGGAATTACTGCTATAAAATCGTCCAGAGTGATTTCTTGTAGTTTTAATGTTAAATTAACTAAATTATAAATTTCTAATTTGCTGGATATCTATATAATATTATATTANCATGCATACAGAAAACTAAATTATATTTAACAAAAGCAAACAAACCATTTTTACAAATCCTGTATGAAGTTCCTCTAGCTGTTTTTTTAATTCGCAGTTTTGAGCCACGGCACGGCTAGCTGCAATTTTATCACTTTGCATCGTGTCTAATAATTTCTCTTTATCAATTTGATTTTCTTCAATCCTTCTAAGGGAATTCTCCAATTCTTCTATCCTAATCTCTTTCTCTTCAATAATTTTACTCATTTGTGCATTATCATTTACCTAAAGTAATAATTTGTGTGATTTATATCCTTTAGAAACAGAAAAAATCATTTAATAATATGTTACTTTGAAAAAATTATGTTCCTTACCTGTGTATCATAATCCTGTTTCATTTTCTGCTGTATACTTTCTAATTCTTCTATCTGCTTTTGAAGATTTTTGTTTACACCGTTTTCAATAATGGCACCTTTGAATTTAAATTTTTATAACTATAAATAAGCTACGGAGAGAATATTCTCAATTTTAATAAGCTTAAAATTATCATATTTTATTTAAATAATTAAATATTCTTGTTTATTCAAAAACTGCATTATTCTAATGCTAAATAACTGGTTTAAAATAATTTTTACCCCAATATATTACAAATTTTAATGTAATAACTGAATAACGTCAGAAAAATTAGAATTTTAGCAAAATTTATTACCTTATAAGCAATTTAATATTTGTAAAATAAATATCTTAACAGAATAAATTTGATGTTGATTTCAATGTTGTATTTATTATAATCTTGAAAGTAGTAAACATCTAATTTGTTACATTAGAAAGGAGTGTTGTATCATTATTATTAAAAAATTTCTGTTTAACAAATCTCAATTTTAATGTAAATTTAATATTCTCTGAATGAAACTTATATCCAAAATTATTTGTATCACTTTGCATTATTTTTAATAAATCTTTACTTCAATTTCATATTGAAAGTAATGAGATTATCCATTAAATTTAACAATTTTTAAGTTACTCTAATATTGGAATAAATTCTAGATCTAAGTTTAATGACATTCTCATTACTTGCAATATCATTGATTCATTAATTCCTTGTTCAAGTGCCTGACTTATTTTTTAAAATTTCAATATCTATATAGAAATCTGATCTTATAATTACAATGCAGTTAAATAACATCCAATGTTTCCTGCTAAGTCAATAAATTAATACAGAAGTGTAAAATATTAATTAAATTATTAAGTTTTATGAGTATAGATAATTAATCAATAACAAAAAGTTATTACGGAGATATAGTATCGAGTTTAAAAAATATAAAAATTTCTTTTATATTCTAGACACAGCACAATTATTCATTTTCTTAGCAAAGATAGTAATTACTCTACTAGTTAAATTTACCATCAAACTCTAACTGGAAGTATCAAATTTGTTACACTTATCATTTTATTGTAAGTATTTCTTTATATTCCAATGTTATAACAATCGTTTTTGATCATCTGATATAATAACAAAATTTAACAATAATCATAATGAAATTCAAAAGTAGTAAATACTTGGAAAATTTTTCTTTTTATTTTTAACAAAGCATCATGTTTCATTAATTTATTTGAAATTGATATAAGTTATATGCAGGGCTGTGGAGTCGGAGTTGGAGTCGTGGAGTTTTGGTGTTTTAGCCGGAGTCGGAGTCAGATGGTAAGGAAAAGTCGGAGTTGGTAAATTTTTACACCACTCCACAGCCCTGGCAAGACTGTGGAGTCGGAGTCGGAGTCGTGGAGTTTTGGTGTTTTAGCCGGAGTCGGATTGGTAAGGAAAAGTCGGAGTCGGAGTCGGTAGATTTTTACACGACTCTACAGCCCTGGTTATATGTTTGATAAGTTTGGTAAATTTTAATGAGATGGTGCCACAATTTGTTTGGTGACATCACAGCTTGTAAATGTCATTTTTCAAACTATTACAGGTCAAATTTCAGCTAGAAGCAAAGCATTTTTCATATTTTACAGACATTTGAAGCAAGCATTGTAGCAGTTTCCACAAAAATGGAAAAAACCAAGTTCCATGCAGTGATAAAACATCTTTAAATAAAAATGTTTCAACTCTATTTTAAATAAAAATGTCCAACTCTATTTTGATCTGGGCAGCTGTCCACTTCTTTAAATAAAAAAGTGGACAGCTGCCCAGATCAAAATAGAGTTGGATGAAGTTTATGGGGACTCTATACCAGTATTGAAGACTGTTTATTTCTGAATAAACAAGTTTAAACATGGTCGAACATGCACTGAAGATGAAGTGCGCTCTGGACATCCAGTTGAGATAACCACAACAGAAATTATTGAAAAAATTCATGGTATCGTCATGGAAGACACTGCATAAAAGTGTGTGAAATTGCCAAGACTATACAAGGTGTGGCAGAAAAGTAATGAGATTGGTATCACTGAGAGTGATCTGGCAACACTGCAGACTTACCTTTCATGCAGCTTGTACATCAGTCCCTCCTAGACACTCAGTAACAGTTTCAATCTCGTGCAGTTAACTAGACAATCCTACAGAGCATGATAAGTGGAGTTTTGTTTTTGTATTGCATTATGGAAAGCATAATAGCGAAATTTGTAGCAACATTGTGCCATCAAATTTTGTGTTAAGCTTGGTGAACCCACGAGGTTGACCTTTGAAAAGTTGCAACAAGCCTATGAAAACATTCCTTATCATGAGCACAAGTTTTTCAAAGCATTTTTTGGAGGGCCTAGAAGCAGTAGAAGACAAACCTCGCTCGGGGAGGAATTCAACATCAAGAACTGCAGAAAATGTGGAATGAGTGAGGGCTCTTGTGAGGTCAGACCATCGACTAACATTGAGTGCTTCGAATAAGACGGGACATTGCGGACACTTGTATGCTCCAACCATGACAACTCCTTCTGTCACATGGCCATCTCCATCAACCAGTTTTTGACAGAAAAAGAAATTCCTGTGGTTCCCCAGACCCCCTGTTCACCTGATTGTTCCCCAAGATCAAAACCCATTTGAAAGGATGTCATCTTGGTACTGTTGATAACATCCATAGGAGCATAACCACATCGCTGCAGGCGATGTGAATTGATGCCTTCCAGCACTGCAACTAAGACTGGCAACAACGCCTCAACAGATGTATAGCTGCCCAAGGAACCACTTTAAAAGGGATAACATTAATGTATAAAAATAAAATAAAATTGTTGCAAAAAAATTCGTTTTGTTACTTTTCTGCCACACCATGTAGGTATCTCAACTGAATGAGTGCACAATGTCCTGCATGAAAAAGTTGTGTGCACAACTGTTGACTGTGGACCCATGCCAAAGGACATTTCAACTCAGTGTTTGGCAATGTTTAATCACAATCCACAGGACTTTTTGCATCAATTTGTGACTGTGGATGAAACATGGATTCACCACTATATACTAAAGTCAAAACAGTGGACAATGAATGGTGAAAGTGAACCAATAAAGGCAAAAACTGTTTTGTTGGCTGGCAAGGTGATGGCCACTGTTTTTTTGGGGGGATTCCCAAGGAATCATTCCTGGTTGATTACTTGGAGAAGGGTAAAACAATAACAAGAGCCTATTATGCAACATTATTAGACCATTTGAAAAAATCTGAAACAAAAACAAACAAGAATGGTGCACAAAAAAAGTGCTCTTTCACCAAGACAATGCACTGTCCCACAAACCAACAGTTGCAATGACAAAATTGCATGAATTATGCTTTGAATTGATTCGTCATCCCACTATCTAGAAAGAAGTCGGATGAGGTCAGTCAAATCTCTCCAGACTTGGCCCACTCTGACTTCTTCCTATTTCCAAACTTAACAATTTGGCTTGGTGGAAAGAAGTTCTCATCAAATAAGAATGTTATTGCTGCTGTCAATGCATATTTTGCAGACCTCCATAAAAGCTGCTTTTCCAATGAGATTAAAAAATTGGAAACCTCCTGGACCAAATATATAGCCGTCAATGGAGACTATGTTGAAAAATAAAATTGATTTCTTTTCCAAAAATCTGTGTTTAACTTGCTTTTTTACCATACTTATAAAATGACCCTCATGTGCGCGCGCACGTGTGTATATACAAAACAGGAAATTTGTATTATTTTTTTTATAACTGGAATAACATAATATATTTTTCTGTATAAGTCTAGTGATAATATAAATGTTGGAAATTGAAACTTTAAACAATTATCAATTCAAATTACAAGTTGAATTTTTAAATAAAATGTAAATATCTGTATATAAAATATATTGAACTGTTAACTACTAATTTCACTTTACATTAATATTTTATATCTAAATACATATTTTTAAATAATAATAAAATTCAAATTACTTTCTTTTTGCTGTAATCTATTAATTTCTTCTTGAAGTTCAGCCCTTTCTTTAAAATGTTTCTCTCTTTCATTAATATATTCTTTCAGCTAAATTGAAGAATAATTCAGTGTATTAGTTTATATTTATTTTTGAAATATGCATATATTAGAGATTTTATAATATCTATTAACATTATTATTCTCATATTTTAGCCAATCGTATTAAAAAGTACTTACTTCATCTTTTAGAGATGTTACTTGTTGGCTAAGTTGTTGAATGTATGTTTGATACTGTTCTGACATTTGGTCCCTTTCAACTGATAATTTTTGCAATGATTCTTTGTTCTTTAGAAAATAAAAATATATACATTAAATTTTACTAATATGAGTAAGTATATAAATAAATAAATAATTATATATATATATTGACCATTGAAGTAGTTCTCTCTTTGCTCATAAATTAAGACTAGGATAAAGGAGTGATGCTTTTAAATCATATGTTAGAGATCTTCAAGTAATCAGAGAATATAATAGAAAAGTAAGTTATAAATGGCATAATCATTTGAAAAATTTGTCGAAGAAAAATATGTATACTGGATATTTTGTTTAAACATACAATAAAAGGAAAATGTGTAGCTATACATGTAGTAGTTCTGTGAGAACCTGGACAAGTGTGATATTATTTTTTTTGTCAAAAAATAAAGGGGAGAACTATTCCATTTCACAAATGCAGTCAAAGAACTTCTTAAAATTTCCTCACGGATAGTGCTTCATCCATGAGTGACACATCTTCCAAGAAACTACTCATTGATGGAAATGGGAAAAAAAATCACAAACTGGAGCAACCATCAACTTTACAAAAATGGGCATTAGAATGGTAGGGGAAGACCCCGAATAAAAGACAATAGGATAGATGACAACACAGAGTTGCCTGCATAAATTGTGTGTTAACCTCCTCACTGTCTTTGTCCACCACTCTTCCCAAATTCCCGTCAATTTTTCCACCAGACTTTCACTGCTCCCCTTGACAAACAAGTACCCAAATATTACAGACAAATCAAAACTCATCTGGACCAAACAAATAAATTGTTGTTATTTAACATTTAAATGCATAGTGGAGTGTGTTATTTCCAGTCTTCCCTGCTCTCTAAAATTTCCCTCCATTCCTTACTCCAAAAAAGACCTACATACATGGCTGCCATGTGGTTCAGACCTGACTTGTGGAGGCGTTGCCATTCTTGTTTGCAGTTCTATACAAACATCAACTCACAAACCTGATGACACAAACCACCTACCTCTAGACAAATTATTTAGTATTTAATTAATTACATAGCCATATTACAGCCCAATAATTTGGCAGTCATTTGGTACTAGTTCTAATAACAGAAGGTGAGTGCTAGTGTAAAAAGCAGCTCTGAAATTTATAAACCCAGCAAATTTTGGGATGCTGCACATGTGCAGAAGATATCTACATCTCTCACATTGTTGGAGAAGTGTTAGTTTCTACATTAATGTGATAGCAGGTGTTTGCAATCATTTACAAAACTGAAGTTCATGACACTTGTCCAGCACTGCTTTCACTGCCATGGCAGTCATCCCAACTCATGCCCATAATACAAGGAACTCAGAGAAACATGATGTTTGTTACTGATGACAGTAAATATGCAAAGTGTAAGATGTCTGGAGAAAACATTAGACAAATTTTAGTTATTTTAGAGAACCCTGAGAAAATCTGACAAGCTAGTGAGCAAGTGAGCAGACACAAAACCCAACAACAACAGTGTATAGAATACTCCATAAAAGATTGGGTTTACATGAATACAAGAGTCAACATGCATCAACAGGTGACAGCAGAAAATAGAATGATACAGAAAAAGTTTTTGGAAACAATGTTGGCCAAAACTGATGCCAACAACACATTTCTAGATCAGGTATGCTTTTCAGGTGAGGCAACATTCCACATGTCTGGAAAAAGTACAGATATAGCTGCCATATTTAGAATCAAAAATATGCATGTTGTGCATGAACACAAAAGAGATTCTCCAAAGTGCAATGTTTGATGTGGGATCATGAAGGACAAAAATCATTGACCCTTTTTCTCTACTGGTACCATGGTAACTGGATTAACATACCTGGACAGGTTACAGCAATACACTGTGCCTCAGTTTCTTGCAGAAACAATTTTTCAACAAGTCAGGACTCATTCTCACTTTGCCAATGATGTCTGCACAGTCTTGTATGATCATTTCACTGCAAAATGGATTGGGAAAGGATGTGATCCTTTCCCAATCCATTTTGCAGTGAAATGATCTAGAAATGTGTTGTTGGCATCAGTTTTGGCCAACATTGTTTCCAAAAACTTTTTCTGTATCATTCTATTTTCTGCTGTCACCTGTTGATGCATGTTGACTCTTGTATTCATGTAAACCCAATCTTTTATGGAGTATTCTATACACTGTTGTTAATGGGGAAAATGTTAGAATGGATTGGGAAAGGATCACATCCTTTCCCAATCCATTCTAACATTTTCCCCAATCCAATCTAAGCAATGAACACTGGACCATGCAATCTAGTGATCTGTGGACCATCTTAGTGATCTGTGGACCATGCAATGAACACTGTTCATTGCATGGTCCACAGATCACTAAACCTAACTCCACCTGACATTTTTCCTCATGGGTGTTTGTTAAGGATCAAGTGTATATTACAATGCTGTATAATCTAGAAGACTTGTGCAAAAAATTTGTGTTTCAATCACCAACATGCTACCACAAATTAGTGAACATTTGCTGCATCATAAGAAGAGCTCAAAAGTGACTTTGTTGTTCAACACAAAGGTGGAGACTGTACGGATTTTTGTTGATGGATGTTAAGAACTGGACTAAATTTAGTTTTTCAGAGCCCTAGTTAAAAGAACTTTTACCCACTCTTTCATCATCATCAACAGAGAAGACATCAAACTAGATTACATCACTCACATTATAAAACAACATTGGTATTCTACAAGAGATTCTCCAATCATTCAATAACTAAATTGTTCTTTATGCCCAATACATCAATAACATTCTCATCATTTGGTGACAAAGACCAAATTTAGTCCAGTTCTTAACATTATCTAAAAGAGCTCAAATTGAAGAATTACCATTCATTGTGAATGAATGTATGATATGCCTGTATCATTTTTAATCTTTTGACAGAAAAAAATTCATTAGACTGACTGTTGTCTACTGAGATAATATAATTTCAATGTTATTCAAATAAAGAAATCTATTTTCAACAAATATATTCAAATATCAAATTTGACCAAAGCAATATTTTGATAATAGAAGGAAGTTTTCATTAAAAGAACTGCAAATTAATGGTAAAGAAACTGTCAATAAATCAAAAGATAGTACATCAGTCATACAGTATTAAAAAATTTCCATGATGTGCAGTTTCCAATTTGAAGAACATATTTTTGAGTGATCAAGAATGTTTATTTTGATATTATTGTACAAGGGCAAAGTGAAAAGTTCTTGGCCTAGTAATGAAAAAATGAATTTTTTATTTTAAAAATGCATTTATTTCTCAATGTAGTCTCCCTTTAGTTCAATACATTCTGTCCAACATTTCTCCAATAACTGAATTCCGTCCCTGAAGTGTGATTCTGGAAGGTCTTCAAAATATCCATTTACCGCTGCTATCACCTCTTTACTTGACCCAAAATGTTTTCCAGCCAAAAATTTCTTAAGATTTGGGAATAGATGAAAATCAGAAGGAGCCAAATCTGGCAAATAGGGAGGATGTTCCAACAATTCATACTTCAAATCCCTCAATTTTCCCATTGCCAAAACGCCTTTGTGAACGGGTGCATTGTCCTGGTGAAAGAGGATTTTTTCTTTTGCAAACCAGGTATTTTCTCTCTAATTTTTTCATCTAGCTGGTCAAGATGATGTGCATAGTATTCCCCATTATTGTTTGACCCTTTGAAAGGTAGTCAATTAAAAGAACCCCTTTGGAATCCCAAACAACACTAGCCATAACCTTTCCAGCCAATGCAATTGTCTTTGCTTTCTTTGGTGCAGAGCCATCAGATTCTACCCACTGCTTGGACTGTTGTTTTGACTCAGGTGTAAAGTGGTGAACCCATGTTTCATCCATCATACCAAATCTGCACAGAAAATCGGTTGGATCCTTCTTAAAATGGCACAAACATTGCTGAGAAAGTCGATTCCTCATTTGTTTGTGATCAGCATTTAACAAATGAAGCACCCATCTTGCACAAAGCTTTCTCATACTGAGTTCTTTGTGTAAAATGTGCCGTATCCTTTCTTTTGAGATTTCAGCTTTTCAGCTTTAGCTATCTCATATATTGATACCTTTAAAATTAATCATCAATCATATAGAACCATATTGTGTATCTTCTCAATATTTTCTTTGGTAGTTGCAGTTCAACTTTGGATGAATTTCTGTTGGTGATAAACCATCAAAAACAAAGAATTTTATGACAGAATGGTATTCAAATTTATTCATTTTGTCAAAAACACACAAAATGCTTACTTTAAACAGCCATATAAAACAAACTATTTGTCTGATCAAATTCATATTTGGTATTTACTTTTGCAACAAGTGCGCCACCATAACAAAACAGTAATTTCATTTTTAGCAGTGCCATCTATGGGCTAAACCAAGAACTTTCACTTTGCCCTCATAAATACAGACTGTAACCTGAGAAGGGAAAAAAATCAGTATTACTTGCAAGTATTTCTAAGATGAAATCCTTCATCATAAAAAAAAATCTTATCCAAGAAATATGCAAATTGAAAAGCATTAATTTTTCTAAAAACATGATGATAATTTAATGAAACTTGTATAACAAGTTGTCAGATGGAAATCAAGAAAATTTCATATTGTTGATATTTTTGTCTAATGAATATTTTACAAAATTGAAATAAAGCAAAATAATCAAACACATTATTCTTTCAAGTAATTCAGAATTTCAGTAAAACATTTGATACACTTTTGTTAGAAATTAATCTAATTACTTTGACTTTATTTTTTTATCTTGCTTCCTTATGTAAAGAAAGCTTACGATGAAATCTAAAGTTTCACAAAAAAAAATTAGAAAACTCTATTCAAACAATATAATAAACATATCTTTGAAATTTGGGTAAATAAAAGCTAAGTTAATGGGAAAAACAACATCAATATTGATGGGAATTAAGCAAAAAGTTACACTATAAATGTAGTATTGACAAGTACATTTCATTTAAATAAATCATTTGTTTATTTAAGAATGCTACTTTCTGTTAACTCCACATTTATTATAAAGTTATTATTATTATTATTTCTGTTATGGTGATAATGTACTGAACAAAGTGATATATCAGAAAAATTTCAAAATATAGCTAGCTAAAGAACCATTTTGTATCTAAATTTAAAAATTTCCTGATTATATGAGAAGTATTTAATATTGTTATTTTCTGTAGTGTAATGTAAATGTTATTATCAAAGCTTAACATTTCTAAACTTTTGAATAGTGCTTAGGATATGACACCTACAGAAAACTAGCATAATGAGTAAATCCATTTTTCATAAGTTCTGTATATTAATTTTTTTTAATGTAATACAGTATATCCCCCTATAAAACCATTTCCTATAGTTATGATTCCTATAAAAATTGTGAAACTATCCGTAAACAACGGTAAAAATAACTCCTATAATACGTAAAACGTCATCGGGCAGCCGAACTACTTACCCGCCGTCCGTAGCGCCACGCTACGGAGAGATTTCTATCGTCTGGACAGTATTATATAAATTATATATAAATTAGGTACTGTACATATAATTATATATTAATTATATATAAATTAGGTACTGTATATATAATTATATATTAACTTAATTTATTGTAACTTTATTATAATTAAATATATATTTTTCGCCGTCTAACGTCACGCTACGGCGAGTTAGGCGACCTATCGTCTGTCCAGTACTGTAATTTTATACATTTCTTGTGAAAGAAACATTTCTTATTTAACGGCCATAAAAATTATTTATATTAAGGATGTCTCCAAAGGTCAACGAAGTTTTCGCAGAAAAATAATATCAGAAATCGCGGCCGCGGTTTGATGCGCTGTTCCGCGACGAAACCAAGCTTTAGCAACGGGCGTAGTCGAACGGTACACACTCGGTAAGCAATCCTACAATTTTTTGTTTATAACGTAGTTTATACGGATTATTTTCAAAAAAATATACGTATTTTGGAAATGTTGAGTCGAATTAGTCTAGAATCGATTAATTTTATGAAAGAAAACCTTTCAAACAGCCGTAGTCCGTAAACTATGATTCCTACAAAATTGATTCATAAAGAACGGAACGTATCTACCGTCTTATAGGGGGATCTACTGTATAATGTAGTATTTTGTACATGTTTGATGTATTTGGAATGAATGTGTCTATGATGTTTGTAATTTTACTTTGTTCATCAATAAAATGTGCTTAGTCTGTAATCACATGATTTTTAATCAACATCACTTGAAATTAATTACAGTAAACTGATTTAACATCCAGAAAAGCTGATTTATACCACTTAGTAAAACATATAACATTTATTATAGAGAAATATATTTTAGAATCATTAAAATAAAAAATATGAATAGATATGAATGTAAATTTTAGGTAAAAATAAATTCTTAACTGTTAATAGTGATGATTTGTTAATAATAAATATTCATATAAAACAACAGTGCATATATTTTTATGTCTTTTCCAAACTAGAAACTGGATCCTGTTTCTTATTTTGTGTGACAAATACATATACTTTTTTATCTTTGATACTAGTTTGATTTTAAACAAAAATTAATAATTTAATAAAAATTGCCAGGACAAGTAAGTTTAAACTTACAAAATTTAAGAAAATTTTTAATGTAAATAATGCATAAACGTGTCCTTTGCACACACGACAAAATTAATAGTACCACCGTGGAGTAGACCTTTCATTTTGAGGCAGATGAGTAACCTCAAATGAACCTCTTACATTTTTAAATGTTAACAACATAGAATTATAAGTAATACACAAATGTAAAGGACAAATGTCTAAGTTTTTTTACAAATGTTCAATATGACTTTCTTTAGTCACATGTATAATGTCAAGGTAGGTAATAAGCAAATTCCTGCCAAACACAATGCACTGTGTTATTGGTAGCTGTTTCTAAAGCAGCAGAAATGGATTGTTTAAGTTTGCATAGAGTTGCAGGCATAGCCAAGACAAATACCTGATCTTTCACATATCCCAAAGGAAGAAGTCGCATAGGGTAATATCTGGAGACTTAGGAGGCTAACTGTGTAACACCAAGTCATCTGGTCCACTGCAACTAAGCTAACTGCAAGATAGCTCCATGTCAAGAAAACACCAAACAAGATGAGGCATTGCCTCATCTTGAAAAATTAAGTTGGGGAGATCTTCCTTCAACTGGGGAAAAAGCCAGATTTGTAACATATCCAAATATGAAATGCCAGTTGCAGTTTTTTGCAAAAAACATTGGTCCATAAACTTTTGATACAGAAAGTGCACAAAAAACATTCACTTTGGGAGAGTCCCATTCATGTGCCATGCATGCATGAGGATTTTTGGAACTCCACATGCAAAATGTTATGACAGTTCACTTTGTCACTTATGTGGAAAGTGACCTCATCACCATAAACAAGTTGAGTGAGAAATTAGCTGCCTCCATAGCCTCTTGCATGTAAAGTAGGGGTCCCCAAAGTGGTCGATAAGAATTCTCCAGGGGTCGATTAATACACGAGGGTCGAAAAGGGGTCGATTAATACCAAAGAGGATCAATTAAACTGTCTAAAAAAAAATAGAATATTCCAATAAAAATTCGAAATACAGATATGATCAACATTACTGAATACCCTAGTTATACTTGAGTTTTGCCTTAGCCTACGCCGCTTTAAGCATGTGTTACTCTGTTTTCATGCATCTGGCAACTGTACTAGAGTTGCAAACATGTTATGAATGCTGGTAGTTCAGAAATACGTTGCACTGTTACACTCTAGTAGGTTTGTCACTCTAAGTATTTTATATCTAAATATAGATATTTTGTCCTTTACAGAGAAAATATCGTAATATATCGAAAATCATTAATATAGTACAAAAGCATTTGCAAGGAAAAACATTACAATTGTTTAAGCTCAAACAATCATAATGGCCTTCCAAGCATGGAAAATGGAGCAATTTAAATCTTCATTGGCACGATCTGATTTTAAATATTTTTCAAACTTGCGAGTACTAAAAAAAAAAAAAAAAATAAAAAGATTTCCGACCGTGATTTGCAGACATATATTAAACATCTTGATAAATTAGGAGAAAACTTTAAAGCACGTTTTGAAGACTCGGAGAATATGCATGTTCCTGAATGGTTTGCTAATCCATTTGATGTAAAAATAGATAATAAAGGTAGTGAATCTGGCTTAGAAGATGAACTGATTGAGATATGTGTAGATCTCGAAGCTAAAGCATTGTTTAAAAATAAAAACCTCAGTGAATTTTGGAGCAATAACAATATTGCCACTAAATATCCCAAGCTCAGAGCAGAAGCTGAACCTTTCTTACTCACATTCCCAACTTCATACATGGTTGAAACTGGTTTTAGCCACATGAACACAATTTTGACAAAACAGAGGAACAGATTGAACTTGAAAAACCATGGTGATTTGTGAATAAAACTTACCAATTTTCAACCGCATATCAATAATCTTGCTGCTTCCCTTCAGACATCCATCCCACTAATATCAGCTATTTTAATAAAAATAAAAGGTATGTTAACATATTTTTAAGGCATTCAGTAGTAGTCGCAAAATGACAGTAAGATGTTTTTTTCGTCCAATATCACTTATATTATTTTTTCAAAGATAATTGTGTATTTTACGTATTATGACATGTACAGTTTAAGAACCATAGGAAAATTTCCATCTATCCATAATTTTGCTATTATTTTTTAAGATTATAAATCAGTAAAAAATATCTCCTTTTTCTGTTAATGTTATTGGGTGGATGTTATAAGATATGGGAACTATAAATTCTTTTGTTGGGTTGTTATGCGGGTCTTCTTATAGCTTAACATCAGAAATACAAAAATGACTTAATGTTTTTGTTAAATACTTAATCTGGGGGTCGATAAGAAGGCAAATATTCTATAAAAGGGTCAACGGGAAAAAAGTTTGGGGACCCCTAATGTAAAGGGAAAAGTTCAGTTTTCATTTCTTCTCCAAAAAAGCTTCATAAATGACACACTAGCACCATCTATTGTTCATAATTTAAAACTTAGACATTTGCCCTTTACATTCATGTATTACTTATTATCCTGAATTGTTAATTTTTAAAAAATATTAAAAAAATTTGAAATCAGATTCTTTCTGAATTACCCTGTATATTATTCTACCTACTATCTTAATATATATATAAAAATAAGTAAATAGAAATTGCATACAGACAACCAAACCAAAACATTCTAATGATCAAATGATAAAGCTAGATTAACTATTGTATTAGAACTAATCCAATAATTAAGCAGCCTTGTAAATAAAAAACATTATGATTTAAAAATAGATTTACCTCTGATAATTTTTTCTCCAATTCTAATTTTTCTTGATGTAAATCTTCAAGCTGTCTACTTCCTTCTTCAGTATTAGAATTGCTAAGCTGCTGAACATACAGTTCTGATATTGATAATTTACTTCTTGTTTCAGTTAATTCTTGTTCTGTAATATGACTTTCCTTCACCTGAATTTAGAAATGTAAAATCATGTTATATATAATTATAAGAAATCAGTATATAACCAATTTGTCAATAATACAAAGTATAGAATAATTTTAAAAATATTAATTTGCAAATTTAATGTCAAAAGTGGAAGAAATTATAGAATTAATCTATGATTTGATTAAAAAGATGTCAGGTCTACATTCCACATGTTTATTGTCAAAACAGCAACTGTATAATGAGCATCACTTTCAGCAATTATAAATCAGGATTGCAAATTTGAAGGCAATACATGTAAATCTGGAGTTTTTGGTTTATTCTATTACAAGTTTTAAGAATGACTTCTTACAATACTTTATAAAAGAACATGATAATTTGAAGTGACAACTGAATAAGACAAAATAAAAACTGGATGGCTTTGATTTACTTGATTATAAATAAAATTTTCATGAAGTACAACATAAATACCTTATAAGAAGTCAGTCCTCCACATTATAAAATGGTGATTTGCACAGATTAAGAGAAAGAAACCAATTAATGCTATCAACCATCTGCCACTGAGAAACTATTATGTAAATCTTGTCTCAAAAACTCATTTGAAACTAAGTTTAGAAAAGACCAATTTGATAGATATTAATTACACTTCATTTTGTTTGTATTTAAGAATTCACCAATTGAATTCTTAAATACAAACAAAATGAAAATTTCAGCATATCCTTGGATAAAATTAATGAAAAACAAACTACCATATATGGATTTAATGTAGTCTTTCAGTGATCAAAGCTCTTGATCATTGAAAGACTGCATTAATATCTTTAAATAAAAAAAAAAACACTTCCTTGCAACTGAAGGATATGATCCTTCCTATTTTAGCAGCCAAGAACTATATATCCAAAGAAAAACTTGAGGACATGAAGAAAATGTTGTTCATACCTACCAAACAGTAACCATTCTACAAAAGTTAATTACAAAAGCAGAAGTCTTATTTTAATATCCTTTTTAAGGATAGCCCTATTTGCATTTAAACCCTTTATATTATATAAGACATACCATTATGAGACAGTACAGAATAGTCCAGCTTTAAATTTCTTTTTTTATGTGATTTTTATGTTAAAAGTTTTGCACCAAAACCTCTAGATTATATGTCTATTTTTGTGTAAACTCAAATAAGAATAAATAAAAATTACAAGGAATATTTTTTTAATTCAAATTTTGTTTTATCTGTACTTTTCATTTTTGATACATAGACCCTTTAGATTTTCATCCCTTCAATTGTCATGGTTATCAAAATATTTATATATTAAATACATTTGTATATTCGCGTATTTAATACATAAATATTTTGATAACAATGTAGGTGTAAATTCATGTATTTATTTTAGCTTTCACGGTACATTTGTTACATTTCTTTACCTCTATTTTCAATATTGTATTTTTTGGTTTTATTTATTGATGTTTATAAATTATACAAATCATCCAATTAAAATTATCCCTTTCAAATTTACTTTATTAAATTTCTTTTGTTTTTTAGAACATTGCGTGATAAATATTTTTCAGTTTATTTTTGATTTTTATAAAATGTTTACTATTGTAATTAAAAATTATGAACAAAATTATATGTTAAATTAATATTTATCACAAATTATATAAGATTAATGGATAATGATTTGGTAATCACTGATTTAAATTTCTTAGATGTCCTTAAGTATTTTTTTACTATTTCCATCATGTGGCATTAAGAGCCTTTTCATCAAACCCATCATGAGTTCAGCAGGAGCACAATGGGGCCAGCCAAGCAGCAAAGGACAGACAGGGCCTGACATATCCAGTATGGACTATCTCCTTAAAAAATTCATATTCATATGTGTTCCTGGATCTCCCAGAGTGGTAGGCTGGCACCTCAACAACTTGTCCATATCAGGCAATCTGTCTTTAGACATTGATGATATTAAAAATTGTAAATTTATTATACTAATTTCTATACAGTTTTAATGACATGGATAAAAGATATGTATTAGACACAACTTATACTAAAAAAGTATCAGTTTATTAGATAATATATGTACAGTACATAGAATACTAAACTAAAATGCTTTGAACTATATTTCTAGTTTAACTTTTTTTATATGTCTTCCTGCAAAAATTCCATCATTCCAAATAAAATATATACTCGCACAATTAACTAAAACATTCTGAATTATTCATTAACTAAAATATTTAATCTAAAATATTAAATTAATGAAACTAACCTTTTTATTGAATTTTTCTGTTAACTCTGATATTTGTAATTTTTGTTCGTCATTTACTTTTCTGGAAAATCAAAATAAATTATTATATTATAAATAGAAATTCAAGTATCAAATACTTAATTATTAAGTATTAATTATTATTCATAATAATTAATACTTAATTATTATTCATTTATTATAATAAGTATTAATTTTAATAATAATAAATATTTTAAATTATTATTAATATAAACTGACATTTATTGAAAATTTTATTTAAATTGTCAATAGTCATAACTAAACTGAAAAAAATGAATGAAGCAAATGAAAATACAAAGTTGAGCATAATTTGATTATTATTCTAGAATAATGACTGTATCAATGCATTCAATATAACATGATAATGTTTACATAAAAATTATTTAAAAAATTGCATGAAAATTTTGTAAGGTGCAATAATGTATAACATGTTTGAAACATATACTAATCTATATAACATTTTATTTCAAATAATCACTGAATCTTTACATCATTTGTGCTGAAAACTTTTTAATAAAATACAAAACTATGAAAAAAATAACAAAATCAATATTTTGAGGTTGTTATTATTCAATTAATATATACAGTAATACTTCGACATATGCTACCCTGACTTACGCGAACCCAGAGTTACGTGATTTTCAAATCTCGCCGATTCATCTTTTGTTTGAGCGCCATGCAACTCTTGATTACTCACTCCCCCCACACTATTGTTCAGCTTACATGTTCGGACATGTCATGCGGAATTGACATATAGCTACAATTTATTTTATGTTATTTATTTCTGTGTTTGTTATATCTACAGAGACTTGAGAGACTATGTGGTGATTTCTTCTAACCGTGAGCAAATCAAAAGACGAGATAAAATTAACGAGAACATTTATTAGCTTACATACGTCCGTCTTGAATTTTACATAAATTGGGAAATTATACCCCGACTTATGCGAATTCGACTTATGCGGTTATCACTCGATCCCACCTATTGCATAAGTTCAGGGTATTACTGTACAATGATTTATTAGTGAATTTTAGAGAAAGATCCAATTCTAAATTTATAGAACAGAAATGTCAAAAATTCCCTTAATCTCAATGATTCAAAAAACTAAAATAAGCATTTATATAACAACTAGCTTACCCGTCGCGCACTGCTGTGATCTCAGAAGAAACGAAATTCAAGCAAACTCGTTATGATAAAATTAAATTTTCATTGAAACTTATTATTATTATTATTCATTTTCATCGGGAAAACATTTCAAAGTGTTGTTTCAATTCTATTTATTTATTGGAGTGCTCGTGGATACACGATATTTTTTGTTTTTTCGTCTGGTGCGTACACGAATAAATCAGAAGGTTTTCCGACGCATGAGCCAGCCACATACAGTTGTCCACGCGAGAAGCACGGATTCTCCAAATTTAGCCCACA